AGGTTTATTTTATATCCTGCAACTTTGCTGAAGTTGTTCATTGTTTAATTAATCAAATAATTAAAGTCACCCTTAGAGGGTTTAAGCAGCACGCTTGGATCCTAGGAGCCCGACAAGAAGTATGTGAACTGACTTTATTAGAAAGTAGGAAGGGCTTCCAGACATACGTCTTTTGGGATCTTTCTCTTGACCTCATGCTTCTTCATCCTGGGTGGGCAGAGAACTTTTTGGCTTGACTTTCTCAGTTCTGCCTTTCCTTTTGTGAAATATGGAGTAGTAGAGAGTATAGTGATTTCTCAGCTACGGGACAAAGATAGATAGAAGGCTCCTCTTCTGATGGGCAAAGAAACAACCAGAAATCTTTTCATCTTTTTCTTCCATTTTCTATTCTTCCTTTTTTTTTTTTTTTTGCTTAGAGTTGGGAAGTCTATATGGCCTTGTGTAATGACAGAACAAACTGGGCCCTAGAAATAGAATGCCCTGCTGTATATTATTTTATTTAATCCTCATTCCCCTGTGAGGGTATGTGTTTGTTGTTGTTCAGTTGTGCTCTACTCTTTGTGACCCAGTGGACCTTAGCACGCCAATGCTGTCTCTGGGGTTTTCTTGGCAAAGATACTGCAGTGGTTTGCTATTTCCTTCTCCAGTGGATTAAGGCAAAGAGCGGTTAAATGACTTACCCAAGATCACACAATTAATAGATATCTGAGGGGCAGCTAGGTGGCACAGTGGATAGAGCTCCAGCCTCGGAATCAGGAGGATCTGAGTTGAGTTCAAATCTGGCCTCAGACACTTGATACTTAACTAGCTGTGTGACCCTGGGCAAGTCACTTAACCTCGATTGCCTCACCAAAAAGAAAAATTTAATAGATATCTGAGGCTGGATTTGAACTCAGGGTCTTCCTGACTCTAGACCCAGTGCTCTATCCACTGAGCCATTTAGCTGACTCCATGAAATGTGTACTACAGGTATTATCTGTATTTTACAAATAGGAAAATGCATTCACCCTTCAGAGGGTGAAATGATCTGTCCATGATCACAGAGCCAGGAAATATCAAAGGAGGGTTCTGGATTCAGATCTTGCCAGAATCTAAATCCTTCTTCCCATATATCATATTATATCCCAATCCTTGGCTTCCTTCAAGATTCTGTTCAGGGGCCACCTTCAACAGGAAGCCTTTCTTGATCATCCCTTTATTTATGTGTCCATGATTTATAACCTCAGTAGAATGTAAGCTCCTTGAAGGCAGAGGTATTTCATTTTTGCCTGTATATCCCACATCTAGCAATAATGTTGCTATAGGTGCTCAATAAATGTTCATTGAAATGAAATCCTTTTTTCAGAAATATGTGTACCCAATTCCTTGCCTCACTACTTTTCACTGCAACTAAAATTAGTCTTTGCAATTAACAAGTTCAGCAGAATTTTAGTATTTTCACTTACATTTTTGGCAGTTGTTTTTATTTTTCTTCTGGTTCAATCTGCATTTTATAAGTTCTTATAAGTCTTTCCATGTTTCTCTGAATTCCTCATATCTGTTAACTAAAGCACAATGACATTCTACCACATTTACATACCAAATTTAATTCAATCATGCCTTAATTGAGTAGTATCCACTTTTCCAGTTTTTTTTTACTACTACAAAAAGTGCTGATATGAATATTTTGCTATATTCTATTGGTATTTTCAAGGAATTCTGTACTTATGTGCTAAAAAGAAAACACACCTGTCCCAGTCTTTAAGAATTAGTCTGCTTTTAAGAAATAAGTTCAGATAACCTTCAAGCAAAAGACCCTTGTCCAAATTTTTACCCACTCTTGGGTAACTGCTGCCATGTGGGAGAGACATAGATTTTTTTTTTCTTCAGTGATGACCTTTTCTTAGATATCTTCTGCTCTTGGTATTTCCTTTCCACTGTGGGAGTACCGAATACTTACCAGCAGCTATCATTGAGATTTCAAAAAACTATTACTCCATGTGGAAATCTTAGGATACAAGAATTGCTCCCATTAGCTTTACAAAAGTTTACATGTAGAACAGAATTTACAACTGTCAGCAGAGGTGTCCAACTTGTTGCTTGCAAAACTCCCCAGAGTGAGTAAACTAGATTAAAATGGAATTGAGAACTGTTAAACAAAATAAATAAAAGACAAAACATGTTCCTTTGTGATTTTCTAAGTCAACACGCAGCCCAAAGTGATTCATTTCTAGTTGAATTTGACATCACTGGTATACAGTTTCACTTTTTTGGTTGAGCCCTCCAGTGTGGATGAAATCTCTTTCCATTTAGGACCCAGACCTTTTCTGAGATCTTCTGGCCAGAGCTCCCTTCCCTCCTTCATTTCACATCACTCACATGCCTCTCTGCATTATTTCCTCCTCCATGAAGAGGTGACCCCATCCCTTGCCAAGGCAAACCCCTCTACACATACATGATCCTGATGGGGTGATGGGATCTGAACCCTGAATTTTCCCATTTTAGCAACCCAGTTCCTGGCTTCTAGCCTAAGACATATGGCCCACCTCAACCCACCTAGATTACTTAGTTTACTTGATACTCTTTAATCCCATCTGGACTGGCTCACTTTTGACCCTTGCCCACCCTAGGCTATTTGCCACTCCCTAATCCCATTAAGATCTTTCTCAATGACCCTTTCCCCCTTTTTTTGTATACAAGTATCAGTCCCATCCTCATTAAATCTGAAGATTCTCTAGGAACCCTGCCTACTCCTATTGGCATTACAATACTGCAGATTTACTAGGATTCTTGCCTGCTCTATTGGCATTATAATAAACCTCACTACTTTGACTGAAAGAAAGCTTGAGTGGCTGAATTCTTTTCAGGCAGACCTCTCTGTGCTCTTACATTTAGGGATTCCCAGCACCTAAAACCACAACAATCCCATTCCATCCCATCTTCTCCACTAGATTTCCCTTCTTTCATCCCCACTTTTTCATTTAACTTCAATCTCTCCCAGTCTCCTGGCTGCTTTGCTGCCTATAAACATGACCATATTGCTCTCATACACCTCCCAAAAACCTTAGTCTGTCCATGCCTATCATCCTATATTTCTCCTCTCTTTCAGGGCTAAACTTCCTGAGAAGGCCATCTACTACTGCTGTATCTACTTTCTTTCCTCTCACTCTCTTAACTCTCTGCAGTCTGACTTCCAGCCTTATCATTCAATAGAAATTACTCTCCAAAGTTATCAGTGATCTAATTGCCAAATCTAATGGCCCCTTCTAAATCTTCTTTATCTCTCTGTAGCCTTTGACACTATAGATCACCCTTTCCTCTTTAGTTTTTATGACAATTTATTCCAGGGTCATCTGAGTCCAGTGGCAAGACATAAGTCAGGATGGCTGGAGATGACCTCCAAATCCAGTGGGACCTTGGCCTTTTAAGCTAAGGTCTTTCCCAGGTCTCAGTTTGTCTGAGGCAACACCCATTCAGTGATTTAAGGCTAAGTAAGAAAAGAGGCAAAAGATGGCCTAGTTTGCCTGTTAAAAAAAAAATCAAACTGGGAGAGAAAGATCCCCAGTTTCTGGCCAGAACAGAAATAATTGCTATTTACACTCCATCTGAGCCATCAAAACTCAAACAACGATCAAATGAGATTTAGGCTGGGACCTATTTTTGGCCAATCAGTGACAGCCAGAGTGATTTGGGTTTAAAGCATGGTCAGGCAGCTCCACTTGAATCCCAATGGACTGCATCAAAGCCTGGTTTTCCAGAGCTCTACTTCAAGAAATCATAAATGAAACTATAAGGGCAACCACACCCTTACACATATGTGGGTGCCCTGCCCAAAGGAAAATACATTTTGATCACTGAAACCTCATAAGATATCTTGAGGTTTAGGGCCCAGACTTTTTTTTCTCTCCCCTACTTATTTATTCTATCATTTTCTAAAAAAACTGGGACAATTAACTCTTTCGTCCCACTTAGTTTCATTTAATATAGAAGCTGCAGGGTCCTGTGTAATCCCGACTGTGGTTCCATGATATTTACATTGTTTCTTTCTGGTTGCTTGCAGTATTTTCTCTTTGACCTGGTAATTTTGGAATTTGGCTACTATATTCCTTGGTGTTTTCAATTTGGGATCTCTTTCAGGAGGTGATTGGTGGATTCTATGGCTATTTTACTGTCTGGTTCTAGGACCTCAGGGCAGTTTTCCTTTATGATTTCCTGAAAGATACTGATCAGGCTCTTTTTTTCATCATGATTTTCAGGTAGTCCAATGATTTTTAAATTGTCTCTCCTGGATCAATTTTCCAGGTCAGTTGTTTTACCAATGAGATATTTTACATTTTCATCTATTTTTTCATTCTCTTGCTCTTGTTTGACTGATTCGTGCTCTCTCATACAGCCATTAGCTTCCATCTGCTCAATTCTAATTTTTAACAAATTGTTTTCTTCTATTAGATTTTGTGCCTCCTTCCCCATTTGGCCAACTGTATTTTTTAGGGACTTGTTTTCTTCAGTGTACTTTTTTTCCAGTTGGCCAATTGTATCTTTTTAAGGACTTGTTTTCTGCAGTTAATTTTTGTCCTTCCTCTTCCAAGCTATTGACTCTCTCTTGCATACCTCTCATTTCTTTGCCCATTTTTTCTTCTACCTCTCTCATCTGATTTTTAAAATCCCTTACTACCTAGTTCTAAAAGTTTCCTAAGTCTTTTTTCTTTAAAAGACCAAATTTTAACTCCTTGAAAGCAAGAGAGAAAAATATGTCCATATTTCTAAGTCTCATTGTTTTCTCAGTCCATATAGTACCATGAACATGGGTACTGCTAAACCTTCTAACTCCTGTATACATAGGCATACAGGAGAAAGTTTGTTTTTCAGGGGTGGTAGTGGTGGTAATTGTGGCAAGAGGGACTGTAAGGGCACTTTCAGTTTTCCTAGATGAAGTCTCTTTGTTTACTGCCCCCCTTTACTAAGGGTTCAATGTAACACTTGATTTTTATAAGCAGAACACCAACAAAGAAACAAAACCACATTTTTAAATAGGCTTTTATTATACAGTATAAAGTTAGGAAAATCCTATCAATTTGAAAGTTACAGTATTAATTCCATACCCCAAATAAGAAAGCACCACATTGTAAAATTACATGAATAAGAAATAACTGAAAACTGTATAAATTAAAATGGTCTATTCACTAATCATGAAATTTAGAAACCTTTTCTTTACCAAAGGTCTAAATGTGAATTTCTAGTACTATAATATTTACAAAGATGATCTTCATCATGGCACACAAGGATAAAATGGCATAAAATGGTAGCAAAAAAAGACAAGGTAGGACTTCCTTGGTGAAGTAATGCATAAAGGTTAACAACATTGGTTTCTCTGCACTTGTAACTTCAGTTTAATATTTTTCAAGTTAAAAAAATCCCATTAACTCTGCTCTAAAAAAGTAATGTGTTCATAGCTCCTGGAAAGAACTTTTTTCCAGAGATTATTTAATTACCTGGAAAATCTGTTAAGACTTCCTTTCATGTAAATAATAAAAGTCTGCAATTTTATTTTTCATGCAAAATCCATTAGCAGAGAAATAAGTGAGCACAGGAAAAAAAATTTTAATGGCTAGGGAATAAATTTTATATCTTTAGTGAATTAAATGAGGAAATGAAGCACAATCATTTTACCAACCAACAAATACATATTTTTAAAAGCTACTGAATAAAAAACCCTGAATTCATATTTCACTAAAGCCAATCTTCCAAAAGATTTCAATTACTGAATAACACTGCATATGAAAATGAGATAATAATGCTAACCACTGGATAGTAAGCATCACATTATCTCCAAAAGATATGTCTGTGGAAAAACTACAATTAACACATCTCTGTAGTAGGGCAAACTTCTTCAGTTTTTTCTCTCTCTCTAAAAACTCACTGGTAATTAAGTTTTCCAAGTAATTTTATGATACTTGTTTACTGGCATTTTGCAGAATTCAAAATGAAAATATTTTTAAATTGTAAAGGCACACAGTCATTCAAATATTCTCACAAGGCTGAGAACTCCTGTTTAAAATAATTTATACTCAGGACTGCTCAATATATATTTCAAAACAAAGTCAATCCTAGGAATTGGTACATTTCTTAAATATCCCTGAAACTAAACAATATTTCTTGGAAGTTTCTCTATTCTAGCTTTATGTTTGTTAAGTATAAAAAGAAACCACTACCAAAACTATGCACATTAAGAAGCCATTTCTTCTCTAACTTAAAAAGTTACTAATTTGATCACACTGATCATAAAACTATACTAAAATTCAAACTCTGAACTTTACAAATTACCTAATTTGGCATTTTCTATAAAAGAAGTCAACAAAACAAAACCTCACAGGACCATTAAAAGTTGAAATTACAAAATAAAATCACAATGTGAAAATATAGGTCTTGGCTTAAATTACAGGCATAGAAAACAAGTACAACATTTCAGTAATTATATACCACTCAAATTTATGTGAGGGTGTTCTTAAAAAAATATTTGGCAATAACTAAAAGGTCATTCAGGAAAAGAAAATACTGATGACATAGCACTTTGGTATAAAATACACAGACTGTGCCAAATTTCTATTATCTTCCTAAGTTCTGGATTAGGGAAGGGTTTAATAATCATTATTATTCTCAGGGTGACACCTGAAAAAAACCAACACTTGGTTGAGATCTAAGCATGAAAAGACATTATCTGACTCCCCCTCCACCACTGGCATAAGTTTCTGATTATTAAAGCAACATTAACTGAATTAGTTTCTTATGGAATTTGAAGATGTTTGTGACAAATCACAGGTATGGTTCAGTTGACAATCCTAAAAATAAGGTTACTAACTTCAACATAGAACAAAGAATGAATCCAAATGTTTTTGAAAATTCATACCATATAAGCCAGAGTATTAAATTGAGAAATTTAATTTCATTGGTTCTTTTTATACTGTCAATGAATGTTCCATGAATAAATTCTTTTAATTAGAACTAAACTTCTATCAACACTAAAGAAAGCTATCTGTATTCATTTACATTTTATCAAGTTTCCTGTTAAAAACATGACTCAGATACATTAAAAACACGTAGCTGGGAGATCTTCAAAACGGTGATGCCGCCCCAGCTTAGTGTTTCCAGATGCCGCCATGTGCTTGTCCTTCTCACAAGAACACTGGATGGAAATGCCTGGTATAAGAACCTTAGACATGGTAATCATCCCAGTTACGCTCAACAAGCATATTTACGGAGAAAGCGGTCAAATGCATCATAGATGGCTTGCCTAGAATAGAGTAAATGAAAGAACAGGCAATCAACATAAAATTAAGCTGTACAGGCACTATGTTTATAAACAAAGAGGCTCAACTGGTTCCCAAATAAGGCAAGGTTCATCTACCCAGAACTCCCCTCTGTCTAACGAGTCACACCAGAGCCAGGATGAGTGCAGGGGTAGAACCCTGGAAATGAGTCACTACTATTGCAAGAAAACTAAAAAAATACAACCACAATAGATTTATGTAGCTGCAACATTGCATGTTAAGTCATGACAGGAGGTAAATTCGTTCTACTGTCATTTTATCTTGGAACACTCTTTTGAGGCTGTGCCCCAAGTGATAATCATGATCGTGATGATCATGTGTCCTCTACAAAGTGATCAAAGTTGATTACATACGTTAAAAAATAATTAGCTCTCCGGGTCACTAGAAATCTGTATTCCCTGCAACCTAAAACCAAAAGGTTGAATTATCTATACTAGCTTAATAAAGTATTTGATTAGGAAATTAATTCAATTTTGTAGAATTCTATTAAAAACATGTTTAGATATTTGTGGCACACATATACACACATTAAAAAATATGTGTGTATGATGCTACACTCTCAAATGCCAAAGTTATGGTATATAAACATGATGAAATACTATATGAAAAATGAAAGGGATTGTTTCAGAGAAACACAGATTTTTATGAACTGATGCCAAGTTAAATGAGCAAAATCAGGAGAACAATTTACACAGCAACATCAATATTGTAAAGATAATCAACTGTATAAGATCACTCTGATCAACACAATGACCCATTACAATTCCAAAGGATTCTAGATAGAGAACTGAGGTACTCAGAGTGTATACTGAAACTTTTTCCTCTCTCTCTCAGAACATGGCTAATACAGAAATTTGTTTCGCATGCCTTCATAGTGGTAATGGGTTTTGTATTTCTTGCCTTTTCAATGGGTAAGGGAGGGAAAGAACTTAAGACTGAAAAAAAAAGAGCAAAAAACATTTGTTTCCTGAGTATATGTTTGACGACTTGTTTTTGGTTGACAGCTTCATAAGAAAAAAATTTTGTTTAAAACCACAAACAAATGTTAACCTGATTCCTTTTCCATCCCACCGCTTAGCTCGTCCTCTCAGAAAACGATCTCACTGACGCACTCTAGTGAAAACATGGAGGCAATGGACTGGCTGTAAGCTCCCTCTCTATACCCATTGCAAGCACACTTGTGTCTTTATTCCAGTCTGAGTAAGAGGTAGCCCTGCTCTGCAGGGCCAGTGTGTTACATGTCCTTCCCTTCTCCAGAGATACTTATTCTCTAGAATGTAAACTCCTTAAGATAGGGACCGTTTCGTTATTCTCCTTATATGCCCAGTGCCTGGTGACTGAATGCCTACTTTCACTCTTCTCAAAATGCACTGTAATATCTCTCATTACATTTCAATTAGGCATTTGCCATAGAATTTTATAGATTCATTACACTGCGAATATCCTAAAATATCATTGTGACTTTTTAAAAGAGTACAAAAACCAATAATGCTTAGGCAAAACCACAAAAATACATACACTGTACTTTTTTATTAATTAATTCATTTTGATTCATCAACAATCATTTCTATTAGCTTTTGAGTTTTAAATTTTTCTCCCCTTCCCTCCCCAAGATGGTGTGTAATCTGACACAGGCCATACATATACATTCCTATTAAACACAGTACAATGTACTCTTAATTACTCAAGACTTTCTGAAGTGGGTCCACACCACCTCGATGTTCTGCTGCTTTCTAATTCACTGTTCTGTTCACTCCAGGTTGCCTGTCTAAATGTCATAAAAACATTCTACTTTTTGTCAAGTTTACTCCTATAGCTTAGCAGTTTACAAATGGACAAGTCTGCCATCTATTGGTGCAAGGATGGAAATGGAGATTTTTAAAAATGTGATAGCAAATTAGAACACAACTCTAAAGTCACCACATCAATGAATGAACAAACACCTATGTGCCAACCACTGGTCATACAGATACATAAATGAGAAAGCTTGCATTCTAGTAGACAACACAAATGAAGAGAGACAGAGCTAGAATGGGCAGGGAGCCACGCCAGGGCCCATGGCTTCACTCCTTTTCTCCTTTCATTACTGACTTCTCCCCGAGGAAGACTTCTGGCCAAGGCCAACCCCAGCTGATTAGTGCCAGCTTACCAGCCCCACCACTGTCCCAAGAAGGGTCCCAGGGATGCTTCTCTGCTCACAACTGCCCTCTGGGGATTCTCTTCCTCAGCTTCTCCACAGACCTCACCCCCCATCCTCTGCTTCTTTTGTGGACCATCTTTCCTAAGAGAACATAAGCTCCTTGAAGATAAGGATGGCCATCATGTTTTTTCTACCCCTCTATCTGTCCTGATTCTATCACCGCTTGTCACCTCCAGGAGCGTAGCCCATTGGTCACTCTGCCTTCTCTCCTTCCTATCCTCTCCCCCCCCCCCCCCGCCCCCCCCCCCCCCCCCCCCCCCTACAAACAGGTCCACCCCCTTCTTAAGAATCCCATTACTTCTCCCTGACACCTCTCTCTCTCTACTCTTTTGCTTCCATGATTCTAGAATGAATTATCTACACCTGCTACATACCTTCATTTCCTCTCCATCTGTTACAAGCTGGCTCAGATCCCACCCTCCTGATGCTGGTCTTTCCAAGGTTATGAATGATAATGCCTTTTCATTCCTTCTTCTTTTCAGGCATCTGGGAAACTTTCATTCTTTAACTCTCCTCCTCCCCAACCCCCCAATAGCCAGGATCTCCTCTGGGCTTCTATGACTCTTCTCTCCTGGTTTTCTGTCTGTCTGTCGTTCTGCAGGCAGTTCATCTCAATCAACCAACAAGCATTTATTAAAAGTATCTACTACATACCAGGCCCATGGTACAAAATGGAACATCTTAAATCTCTTGCTATCAATATAACTGTTCAGACCTGGGGTCAACGTTTATCTTTAAATACTTTGATAACCATATCTTAATTTAACTGTATTTTATTTCCTTTGAATTTTTAGGCGTTTTATTTTAGGTATTTATAAACATGATTTGGAGAAGGGGTTTACAGGCTTCACCAGACCTGTCTGTAGGCAGTGGGTAACCCTGGGACAGTGACTGGGCAAGTCACTTAACCCTATTTGCCTCAGTTGCTCATCTGTAAAATGGGGGACCCACTGGAGAAGGAAATGGCAAACCACTCCAGTATCTTTGCCAAGAAAACCCCTGGGACAAAAGTGCAACAAAAATAACCACTTCTTATTGAGACCTGTATTCACAGATCCCAGGCCTCTCGAATCACAAAAATACACAATACCACTTGCAATATTTAAAATTAAAGTAATATAACTCCAGCACAGCAATGAAGGGCCTCCACTATAAATCCAGTTTCAAACTACCTTTCCAGTGCTCCTTAATGCTACTTTCTTTCAAAGTCAATGTTCTATTCCAGGCAACAGTAACCCTATTCTCCACTCTTGTCCTAAACTTCCCTGTTCTGTGAATTCATACATGCCCTCAATGCTGCCTGCCTGCATGCATTACCTGCGGATGATATCTTTACTTGAGCACACAAACTGGATTTCAGTGAGGCAGAGTTGCACAATGTCGTGTGTGTGTTTGTGTCTCTCTCTCTGTTCTCCCCTCCCACCACTCCCCCCACCCCTGTCCCAGTCACTGAAGTCCAGCAGCAGAACAAGTCAGGACCACTGCTGATGAGCCAGGACGCAGTGCATGACCTTGGCATCTTCAATGTCTGACCTCACTCTAAGAGCTCCACAGCATCTGCTTCAGTTGCCTTCGCGGCCATTGGCACAAACTGTCCTTACCTGCCCATTCTGCAGGAGGAATTCTTCACATCTGGGGTTGACATCCCCCTAATTCGCTGATGGGTTTGAGGCCTGTCAGTCACCCTCAACCTGGTTTAGCCCTGCTTTAGTCTGCTGAGGTATGGCCACGGCACATGCTGCAGCTTCTTGGAGCCATAGGTGAGAGCTGGGGACAAGTGGATGGGCAGCCCTGACAAGGGCTGGCAAGCCCTCCCACCAGGTGCTCATCCTCCCTTAACTCCCCTGTACATCCTCCAAGGCTAATCGCAGGTGCTAGCGCCGCTTCCTCAAGTTTCTCTTGTTCCATTCCTTTTCCTTCAGCATGTTCCACGATGCATTAGATTTATCTGTGCCACGTCCTTCCTAGGAGGCTGTGAGCCACCTGATGGCTGGACTGTGCCATCTCGTGAAGATTTCCCTTCTCCAGGCTTAAATGTTTCTTTCGACAATTTCCAGCCCTTTCCTAGGCGCTGGCCACTGGTTCAGAGGTTCTTAATCTGTTCTGTGTTCCAGATCGCTATGGCAATCTGGTGAGGTCTGTGAATAATATTCTCAGAATACTACACAGATTACAAAGGAAACTAATTACATAACACAATTGTTAAAAATATTGAAAAAGCAAGTTCATGGATTTCATGTTAAGAATTCTTACTCTAGTTTCTTGAAGTTAACTTCTGCAATGGAATGTCAGACCTGATTACAGTATTCCAGGTTGGTCTGACCAGCAAGCACAGAGTAGAGATGAATTGCTGCCTCCTTTGTTCTGGACAGGACACTTCACCAATCTAACTTAACATCACATTTCCCCCCCCAGTTTATCTATTACAATAGACCTGCAATCAACTAAAACCCCTCAGCCTTTTTCATAAAAAGCTACTATGTAAAATGACAAAAACTTACACCTCTATAGCTGAATTACTGAATCTAAGTGCAAGGAATTTTTAAAAAAATCCTCATGCTATGTGATTTCACAAGCGCTGACCCAAACTTCCAGCCTGCTGATCTCTTGTTATTATCCATCCTCACTAGCTTCCATCCGATGTCTCTCCTCCCCTTCAGGCCAAAATCCTGGAGATTTTCTATGCTAGGTGCTTCCTCTCACTGCAATGTGTCTTCTCACTTCCTCACGCAACTGAAGCTGCTCTCCGCAAAGACTCCTTATCCCTTAACTGCCAAATGTGGTGCTTTCTTCTCCATCCTCACCCCTATCTCTGACACTGCCTATCGCTCCCTTCTCCTCGCCAGGTTTTCAGGACAGCCCTCCCTCCTGCTTCTCCTCGTACTCGTCTGCCTGCTCCTTCTCAGTTTCCTTTGCCAGCTCTTCCTCCAGGTAATGCCCCCCAACTGTGGCCCCCCAAAGCTCTTTTCCTGGGTCCTGCTCTCTGCTTCCTTGAGGCTATTTCACTTATCACTTCACCTCCTCCATGGCTCCACTGTCATCTCTATGCAGATGATTCTCACATGTCACTCTAACCTCTTCAGCCAGAGACAAGGACCACTTTGGACATCTTAAACTGAATGTCCTGTGAGTGTCTCAAACTCTGTGCGTCTAAAACAGAATCAGCTCCAGAGGCCTCGGGATGGAAAATGCTGTCCACATTCAAAGAAAGAACTATGGAAGTCGAATCGCTCTCACTTATTTTTACCTTAAGTTTTGCTTCATCTTTCTGACGGTTCCTCCTATTGGTTTTAATTTTTACTTACAACTTCACTAATGTGAAAATATGTTTAATGGGTATGTAAATGTAAAGCCTATGTCAGATTGTGTGCCGTCTTGGGGAGGGAGGAGAAAAAGGGAGAAAAAATTTTCAACTCAAAAGCATATGGAAAAAAAAATTTTTTTTAAAAAAGAAAGAAAATAAATAAATAAATCAGAATCAGTATCTTTATCCTCCAAACCTGCCACCTTTCTAACTATTTTTATTACTGTTAAAGGCATCATCCATTGAACTTTGGACCCCCTTGACACCTCCCTTGCACTCAGTTCTATTTATCTAATCTGTGCTTGAGCCTTGTCATTTCTACTTTACAGAATCCCTCATATATGCCCCTTCACCCTCTTCACTGACACGCTGCTGCTGCAGGCCCCCATCGCCTCCTGATAAGACTTCTAAAACAGTCTTCAGCTCCCTCTCCCTGTTCTAATCAGCTGCCAAAGTCACTGTCCTAAAGTGCAGGTCTGACCTTGTCACCAGCAGCTCCTCAGTGCTTCCAAAGCAAAATGTAAAAATGCCCTGGACTTCCCGGCCCTTCCCTGGGCTCCCTGCAATGACTCAGTGATTTGGCTATGCAAGTGTGGCCTCCTCTACTGCTCCTGCAACACGACAGCCTGTCTCCTCCCTCAGGAACTTGTCCATGGCTGATGATGGCCCTCTTCAGCTTGACCTTCTGGTTTCCCTGTCCTCTCTCTTCCCTCTGGTCTAGTCTCTGTGCCCACAGGCCTTCACAGATCATCTTGCCAGCAGAGCGTGAGCTACTTGAGGGCAGGGTCTTGTATTTTTGCTTCTCTCTCAATCTCTAGCACTTAGCACAGTGCCTGATACACACACACTAAATGCTAATTTTTTTCATTCAATGTATTTTTATTTCCATAGACATGCTTCGATCTGCAATTTTGACAAGTATGCTATTTTATGTCTTCATTTAAATCACTGAAAAAATGTTGGGAAAAAAATAAGTCTGAAGCCAAGGTCCCAGAGATTTGCCACTAGAAACCTCATCTTCCAAGAGATAAAGGAAAATGAAGGTAAAAGGAGGGACAAAAAAGAACGGAAAAGAGTAGGCCCTAGAAAGTCACAATAAAAAAGAATGTGTTCTTATTTATATTGGTTAAGAAAAGAAAAACCTATTTAGACTAAGCACCTCACCTGAAGAGTCCTTGTTTGAAAAGATAAGCACTAATATGTCCCCCTTCTAGGTATCGAATTTCACATCCAGGCCAAATTTCTTGAAGGCTTCGAACTCCTGTTCGTGGAATATAGGCATCTTCTTTGGCTTGAACCACTATAATCAGACTTGGATCAACTGGAACTATGTATAGGATATAAACAGTTCAAAAGTATGTGTACTCAACAGTGTGAACATAAGAATTTAATACTATGTGAATGGTATGAAAAATTAAAATATCCTATCGTTATGAAACGGTTTCAAATTCAAACAATAAAAAGATAATTTTAATTACATGAAACTGAAAAGCTCCTCATGAGCCAAATCAATGCAAACAAAATGGGAAGGGAGACAATCAAACCGGGAAAAAATCTTTGCTTCAAATACCTTTGTTAAGAGTCAGATATACAGGCAACTAACAGAAGTCATTCCCCAATAGAAAAGCAGTCAAACGAGATAAATCAACAGTTCTCACAAGAAGACTTGCAAGCTTTTCACAATGGCATGAAAAAAAACGCTCCAGACCACTAAGAGGAAGGATGCAAATGTAAATCAAAACAAACCCTGAAGTTTCACTGGTTAACTAGCAGAGAGGACAGAAAGTCAACACTGAAAGGGCTGTCTGTGTAAAGAGAAGGGCACACAAATGCTGGAGGGGCTGCAGACTGGTCCACCCATTCTAGAATATGACTGGGAATTATGTGAAGAATGTGACTCAACTGTACCCCATGACCCTGAAATGCCCCTGGGCTAGATGTACAGGGGCTTCTAAGGAGCACAGCAGCCACAGCCTGGACTTGGATTTAGGAAAACCCAAGTCTGAATCCAGCTTAGCTGTGCGATCCTGGGCAACTCCCTCCACCTCTGCCTCAGTTTCTCCATCTGTAAAATGGAGAGAACAACATCTACCTCCCAGAGATGTTGTAAGGAACAAATGAGATATGCCCAGTACTTTGCAAACTTAAAGCCCTACAGAAAGCATTTTCTTCTTCATCTTCATCATCACCATCATCATCATCACCATCATCATCTCCAAGGAGGTAAATGATGAGAATAAAGGCCTTAAATACACACCAAAATATTTAAAGCAGCAACAAGCTGGATCCTGCTTCCTCAGGAAGGCCTTCCAAATACTTGAAGAGATTCCTATTCCCCCACTATCCCCCCTTTAATAACATTTAATGTGTTATTACATACATGGTCACCAGATTCTGATATTTTCATAAGCAAATATTTCCCGAACTAATTAATCTAAATTATAGGACATTGGGAGGTTCTTGATGAGTAAAGTATGCTACAGCCTTTAAAATAATAGTACACAAGGCAGCTAGGTGGTGCAGTGGATAGAGCTTCGGCCTCGGATTCAGGAGGACCTGAGTTCAAATCTGGCCTCAGACCCTTGACACTTACTAGCTCTGGGACCCTGGGTAAGTCACTTCACCCCACTGCCTCGCCCCCCCCCAAATATATATATACTTGCACACTGGCAAAAACCCAGATTTCAAGAGAAAATTAGTACCTGAGAAATTTGCTACATGAGTACATTCGTCCATGACGCCTTTCATAAACATTAAAGATTCCTTCTGTAGAATGCTCCTTCTTTTTTCTTCACTGAATTGGGGGTCTGATCGACTTACAGAGCTGCCATCACTGCTCTTCTTGGTGGACAGTGTTGGACTTAGGGACTGAATCTTAGAGACATCTTCCAACACAAGGCCTTCTGATGTGGCACTGAGAGGGGCTTTACCAGTGTTATGACACTGAGCAGATTTCATGCGTAATGATTCACCCATGTCTAGGTTCAAAGTTCTAGGAGCCAGATCAAAATTAGCCAGGTTGTCCACACTTTTAGGGAAATGTTTCACAAAGTCTCGTCCCATTTTAAAAGAATCTGTCTGAAGAGTTGAAAGGTGGAGAGAAAGAGAGAAAATAGGAGAAATCAGAACATATTCTTAAGGAAGATACCTTTATTAAAATGTCTTATTTATCAATTATGCTTAAAAAAAGATACGAGGCTAAAAGAATTGAGTTAAAATCGAACAACTTCCAAATGATGCCACTGAGAACAAGGATTGATATTTTTAGTCAAAAAAAGCTGCATTCACTCACGCCATGCTTACTGCTGAAGTTTCAAAAAACAGAGACAGAAACACTTCAGTTATCCTCCTAGACCCAAAAGCATCCTAGGTTATATGGCTATTTCTACCACAAATGTTTCTGTACACATCGCTCTCAAGATAAGGCACTGTCACAAGCCGAAATACCTTGGAAGAGTTGCCAACGGTTTTTTTTAAACAAATTAAGTTTTTCAAGTGTGATTAATACTTATGGATCTGGAAATATCAAAGTTTGATAATATTTGTATTTCTAGCAAGAAAGAGGGAACTAAAATTACAGCAATAATGGTTACAGAGACATGGTGACAAGATCCTCTGTGGTGACCTTTTGGGAGGACTTGGACAAGAAGAGATGCACAGAAAAGGTAGGCACAGAGAGGCTGCAACCTGCACCATCAGTGGGAACTTAGGAATCAATAAGATCACAGACCTCTTGAAGTATTTTTAAACTTAAAAAAAATTTTCCCCATGGTAAATTACTAGAAAAATATTAATGATGATGATGATGAGAATAACAATAAAAGCATTTATACAATATCTACTGTGTATCGGGCACTATGCTAAGCTAATATTTACACACATTCTTATTTGAGCCACACAACAGCTCTGGAAAAAGGTCCTATTCTCATCCCCATTTTATAGCTGGGGGAAACTGAGGCAAACAGAGGTCAAGTGACTTGCCTTGGGTCACACAGGCAGTAAGTGCCTGAGACTGGATCTGAACTCTGTTCTTTGCGACACCAGGCCCAGCACTCTATCTGCTGAGACACCAGCTACCTCATAACAAGTTAAATTCAAACCTTTTGACTGGGATTCAATTGTTTTTCAAACTGAAAAATAAGCCTAGTATGCCTTAGTTGACTTTACATGACATAACCTCTTTAATACTCTCTAAGAGTTACTCACATGCAATACTACTAAGAGTCCACAGAGACGGGTCTAAAAAAAAGCTGGATACAACTAAATCCACATTTCAGTTCCTCAAAATTCACGGGTTTCTATCACAAGTTCTTTTGCAGGCTATTAGATTGGAAGATAGAGCCATAGTTTGAGGGCTGAGACATTACAGTGGTTCCATCAGACTGCTGTCTTTGCCTGCCTGCTCAGTGCGGGCTCTGCGTGTGGTGGAGGAGAAAAGGCCTAAGTATTGGAGTCCAAGGATCTGCTATCAAATCTCAACTAGGGTGTACCCCAACAAGAGGAATGTATATGGCTCATTCTTTGTTTAACGGACATTGTCAATGACAGCAATTTTAAAAACCTGACATACAAGTCTGTCCCTGAGAAATTAGTACCTAATTACTGTTCCTTGCACAAACCACTCCATCTCCCTACTACTGGCATTTCCACCGGCTGCCCCCCAAGCCAAGCTCTCTCCTTCTTCATCCCCATCTCCTGCCTACTCTGACTTCCTTCAAATTAGAGGTACAATCCCACCTTCTCAAAGAATTAAAGCTAGTGTCTTCTTTCTGGTAATTATCCTCAATTGATCCTGTATACATCTATCTTCTTCAAATGTTCCCTCCCCCATTAGACTAATAACTCCTTAAGAGCAGGGGAAGGTTTTCTAAGGCCCAGTGCTGGCACAGAGCAAGGGGTTAATAGATGCCTGTTGATGTGAGTGGGGAATTTAAGTCAATTGCCTTTTATTACCTTCTATGTTATGGTAAGTTTCCAGAACACTAAGTGAAAATAATATTCATTTATAGCAGGGCAAAAGAAGAAATTCTGTATTTAGAATTAAAAATGTACACTAAGTTACCATGTTAACCATGTCTGACAGCTATCTTAAAATTCTCTGTAATTTTTAAACTAAATGTATTACAAGGAAATTTATAATATTTTTTAGAATATTCTATTGTGGAAGAAAAACACAAGATTCTGTGTTTCTTCAGCCAATGTCTCTAAAAAAAAAAATAATCTACTCATTATCTCCAAGCTTTGATCCTAAGAGAGGGAGAACCAAAGGGTGGAGTTTGGCATTTTCTCTGACCCAAGTCATTTCTACTTACAATTTTATAATGCTTAGAAACAAAGGCAAAATGGAGGTTTTCTTGAAAAAGTGATCAGGACTTCGATCAGGAAGAACCCAAGGATCTCAGAATAGTGTTTCTGGGAATCTGACTGAATACTGATAAAGTTTTTTTCCCTTTCAGGTGAGACCAAAGACATTAGGGCAAGGAAAATGAGAAAATATTTCTTAATACTTTTTTCTTTAAAGAAAGGGATGACTTAATATACTTTCTCACTGTCAATACAATATTTTTGTCCTACTTATAAACATCTCCATGACTGAAGTAGGACATTCACACTATTATTAAATAGGGACCCACAGATACCTGAAGAGCATAAACTAGAAACTTCCCTGCAACAGTTCCACTTCTTCCTGTTGACTCACAATCGATTTGTGAGAGAAGTAAACATGTGTATGGCAAGTTAACAAGAGATCTGCCTTTGCTGGAGTGAGAGTACAGGTATTTGGGGATCTTTTTTTCCGGCATTTTTTCATAAGACCTAGGTGGGGGCAGTAAGAAGAAACATAGAAGGATCAAACACCAAGTTACTTTCACAATCCAGGTAAGAAAATGTGATACTTCTTGGTGAGTAAAAGAGTATTATAGAGACTTCCAAACGATCCAAAAAGATCTTCACAGAGATATTAGTTAATGAGATTCATTTACCTATCACCCTACAGGCACAAACCAAGGCATGTTCTCAATCCAATTTCGGGGTTCTCAGGTGGCAGCTGCCATCAGAGAGTGCCTTTCCCCATTGCTAAAACCTCACCTAAAGTCCCGCTCCAAGGCCTAATTGTGTCTGTCAGCAGCAAATGAGCTATAGCAGGTCCTGCCAAGTTCAGGATCAGTGATAAAAGTCTATGGCAGCTCTCTACAGCAGGCCAGCTGAAGCCTGAGGAGAGGCTTGTCACCAGGTCAGCATCAGGGCGACGAATCTTCCAGCCACGGAAACTCTGGAAGATGACCTGCTAAGTTAGAAGGCTTCAGTCTAACATACAAATGTCATCAAAATTGCAGACTGACATAAATCAAACCTGTAACAGTCACAATTTAGAAATCTGAAGACCAATGAAAAATCAATAATACACATATCATATATTTACAGAGGCAGCTACATGGTGCAGTACACAGAGCACTGGGCTCCAGCCTCAGACACTTGCTAGCTGTGATCCTGGGCAAGTCACTTCATCCTCTTTACCTCAGTTTCCTCATCTGTAAAATGAGCTGGAGGAGGAAATGGCAAACACTCCAGCATCTTTGCCAAGATAACTCTAAATGGAATCATGAAGAGTCAGACATAACTAAAAATGACCCAACACTATACTGTTATATAGTTCAAAGTAGCACTGTGTTAATATACACTATACATCTAAAGCTGCCTAAACACTGCATTTGGTACCAAAAGCAGTAAACTTCCAGGTCAATGACAAAATACACAAGTAGACAGAAAGAAAGAATTCAAGCACCGAGGAGCCAAAGTCAGGATCATACAAGATCCAGCAGTCACCAGGAAAAAGGAACAGAGAGTTTGGAATGTTATCTTCCAGATAGCAAAAGATCTAGGTTTACAACAAAATAACAAAACTGTGCAGTAGGGAAGTTTGGGGTCCAAGAAAGGAGGTAAAAAAACCTGCTACCCACAATCAAAAAAAATTTTTTTTAAATGCATTTTCAAAGTTATACTTCTTGTTTTAAAAAACTGGCATGCTTCTTATTTTTGAAAGACAGGGAAGACATTAGTAAGAGACAATTTCTTGCTAAAGAGGATTTTGTCCTTCCTCCCCACTCTCTTCACTCTTTGCTTAAATATTATCTTTAGGTGGTGTAACAGGATTGAGAGTTGGAAGGGACCTTGGTGAATATCTCTTTGAACTTCCTCATACACCTGATGTGGGGTCCAGAGAGGTCGAGAGACTTGCCTTACCTGTGTGAACTCAAGGTCACATAAGTAGTGACCAAGCCAAAATTCAAAACAAATTTAGGGTTACTGCTATCATACTGCCACTCTGATAACATGTAGAGCTGACATCTAAACAAAAAACTATATAAGATCTCCATAGTAGATGCCTGATAAATGATTACTGGTTAACTGATTCTATCAGAAGTAAAAATCAAGTTGCATTTTCCCATTAAGGATTTCTAAATTTGACTAGGTCAAAAGTGAAGAAAGTTTACTCTCTGAGAAGAGAAAATTGAACATACTGATTTTTATTAAAAAGATTTAACGGGAGTGTTTTCAAAACAGTAATTAAAAAAAAAAAACCTGACACCTGAATTTGTCCTTAAACACCAAGCATCTAAGGAATATAAGTCAATCATTTTCTCCTACCTCACCTTTAAAAAATATGATCATAGAATTCAATGTTAGTGGTATTTTTCATATTTCTAGGCAGTAAGAATAGTGAATCATCTTACAAAAAAAATCTATATTTACTCTAATGAGCCCATTGTAACAAAGAAATCTGAATACACTTACCCCACAATATTCAAGCATGTGAAAAATCTCTTCTTCATAAACTGTCTGTGTATAGTATTGTTTCTCCAATTCCCTCCAATTGATTGATTTACTTAGCACGCCCTAAAAGAACAGCCAAAATTAATACTAATACATAAAGGCCACTTCATTCATTGTCATTTCTACATATTTAAAACTCACTAAATGTTAAATGCAATAACATTACCGTAGTAAAGACTCCAGAAGCAGTTGACCAAGAAAGACATGGAATTAGTGGCAAAGGTTTAGGCCAGTTGGTTACAGCTAATGAAGCCATCTGTAATAAGAATCACACGGTTATATAATGCTTTAAACATGAGATCTTGCAACGAAAAAAGAAAAGAAAAATGAAAAAAAGAGTATTTCCAAGAAATACTATTCAGTTCATTTTCATAGTCACTTTTAGCACTATATTCTCCCACAAAATTTTCAACAATTATTTACTTGGCTCCTTTGTTCACTGATCCATTCACTTATTTAATGAGTGTCTACAAATTGTACATTACTGTGTTATCTGTTATGGGAGGATGTAAAAATAAAACTAATAGCCCAAAAAGATATTGTGACTTTGAGGAAGGGGTAAATTACTTACACCAATAATACAAAGCAGGAAGGAGAAAGAAGTACAAGAATGTTATTGGAGTTCAAAGGACAGGAAGCAAAGGTTCTTCATGAAGGTAGCACTCAGACTGGGGCTGGAGGGTGACTAAAGTTTTAAGAAGTGAAGGGACAGCAGGGAAGGAAGGATAGGTAGAGAAGACATTTCAATTAGATGTAACTGTTTGAAAGAGAACTGGGCTAGAGACCAGCAGATGTCAGAGCCAAGAGGACTTAGGTTCAAGTGTTGCTACTGACCCATCCTGGCTACAATGACCCAGGGCAAGTCACTTGGCTTCTCAGTGGTCTAGGCAATGCTCTACAGCCACAAATTGCAAAGAAGGTATCAACTTGCACTAGTAAAGACAAGTTCCCCATCTGGGAGTTCTTCCTCCGTACCAGGACACCCTAGGTACAGTCCCTATCCCTAGGCATCTATACTTCCAAAGGTCTTTTCACGGTATGGAGTTCACCCTGGGTTCTTGAAGGCTGTCATAGTACCTGAGAGCCTGCTCAATATCTTTCACAGACTATATCTTATCTGATCCTCTCAATGAAGTGAGAAAGGTAGATTAGAGGTCAGAATGAAAACACCAAGCTGAGATATGAGGGCTTAATTCAGGATGTAAGAATCACTGAATATTTCTAAGCAGAAAAAGGAGAGCAGAGAAAGAGGTCTATTTTAGAAAGCTGACTGTCAAAAGTACATAAATTGGAATGGAAAGAGGTAGGGGTAGACCCTTTAGTAGGCTACTACAATAGTCTAAGTGATGGATCATGGCTTCAAGGACTTAATGCAAAAGTATTCTTCCTGCCTCTCAGTAGAGAGGTGGTGGACTATAGGTCCAATATCTCCAGATTTGGCCAATATATTAAATTGTTGACTGTAATCATTTGTTACAAGGGAGGGTTTTATTGGGAGAGAAAAGGAATAGTTATTAAGAAGTGACAGTTTTGTTTAAAAAAAGCCATCAGCAAAAAAATTTTTTTTTAAAGTCCAGGTATATCTCACACTTATCAGATTACTTAAAATAACAGAAGTGGAAAATGACAAATGTTGGAGATGTGGAAAAATTGGGATACATACACTGTTGGTGGAACTGTGAACTGATCCAACCATTTTGGAGTGCAATCTGGAATTATGCCCAAAGAGCTACAAAACTTTGACCCACCAATACCACTATTAGGTCTGTTTCCCAAGGCGATCAGGGAAAAAGGAAAAGAACCTATATGCTCTAAAATATTTATAGCAGCTCTCTTTGTAGTGGCAAAGAAATGGAAATTTAAGGGGATGCCCATCAACTGGGGAATGGCTAAGTTGTGGTATATGATTGTGATGGAATATTATTGTGCTCTAAGAAATGATGAGCAGGTTGATTTTAGAAAACCATGAAAAGACTTGCATGAAATAATGAAGTGAAATGAGTACAACCAAGACAGCACTGAATACAGTAACAGGAATATTGATAGAAGAAAAACTGAATGACTAAGTTATTCTAAGTATTCTCTTTGTGACCTTACTATGAAGAGATACAGAATTTACACTTTAGATAACTGATTTTTAAGGTCACTTATAACCTAACATGTCAAGGTAGGACTACAAATCAATAAGAGAATACTCACAAAATACTCAAATCAACTACAAAGGGCCTATGAAAGAAGGCTATCCACCTTCAGAGAAAGAACTGATAAATAAAAGTATTCATAGTATGGTTTTACATACACACCCAACTGTGTCAAATTGGTGGCCTTCTCTAGTGCAGAGTGGGGAAAGAGGGAGACAGTTCAGAATTTAAAATCTAAAAATAAATAAATTTAAATTTTTTAAAAAGTCCAGGTACAGGGTAAGGAGGGCATTAAAAGTAGGGTATATACATTGCTTTAATAGCAAAGCTTATATAACACATTATTCCTCTACCTCTAATAATTCTTTCCTTTCTAATTTCAACGTAAGAGTTGTTCTGTTCATAATCAGTCTAAAGCAGAGTTTTAATTTGGGGTCTGTGAACTTTTTAAAAAATAGTGCTAGCCATTTCAATATAATTTGTTTCCCTTGTAATCCCATATATCTTATTTTGTGCTTAATTTAAAAACATTATTCTGAGAAGGAACCACAGGTTTTACCAGATTGCCAAGGAGGCGACTCAAAAAAGGTTAAAAATGTCTGTTATTCTTTTTTTAAAAATATTTCCCCCATTACATGTAAAAACAATGTATAACGTGTTTTTTTTTTAATAGGTCTGAGTTTCAAATTCTATTCCTCTATCCCTCCCTCCCCCATTCCTGAGACAGTAAACAATCTGATATAAGCTATACATGTGCAATCATGAAAAACATTTCCATATCAGTCATTTTGTGCAAGAAGAAAGGAAGAAAGAAAGAAAAGAAGAAAAAAGAGAAAAATAGTATGCTTCAGTCTGTATGCAGATTCCCTCTCTGGAGGTGGATAGCATTGCTCACCATGAGTACTTTGGGACTGTCGTGGATTACCACATTGCTCAGAACGGCTAAGTCACTCACAGTTCTTCATCGTATAATACTGCTGTTACTGTGTACAGTAAGAACCTCTGTTCTAAAGGAACAACTCCAACACATTTTTGACCTTACTATGGAGAGATACAGAATTCACACTTTAGATAACTGATTCTAAAGGTCATTTTTAACCTAACATGCCAAGGTAGGACTATAAATCAATGAAAATAATTTAAATAAGGACAAAAATTGCCAGACTGCTTATTTAATAGATGGTATAAGAGAAAAGGCCAAAAAGTTTACAATCTGTTTCAAGAGATCTCAAGCCACGCTAACATAAGCCTTACATATCTCAGGTATGACGAGAAGGCCAATGGATTTAGAATCTAAGTAAGACATGGCTTCTTCTAGCCCCTGCACTGTCATGGACTGTGTGATTGCAGCACGTCACTACTTTCCTCAATCTCAAGTCTTCTCCACAAAATGAGTGGCTTAGTTCAGGTGATTTCTGAGGTCCCTGCTAGTTCTAAAATCCTATGATAAAGGTCAATTTTCTAGTCCCTCTAAACATAATCATGCCCCAAAATTCAGAGACAGAAATACAGAATATTAGAGTTTTCCTAACTCAAGGACTAGAAAATTGTTGACATTCTGTTTCTACACAATAACAAACATTGTACAGGGAATAAAATGGTACAATAAGCATGAAACTGCTTTCAGTTTATCAGTTTATCAAAGCGGCTCTACCATCTTCAGTTTGAAACATTTGTCTTAGTTGTGGACAAGCAAAAATAAGGCACCAATTACAGAAATTTTTTTGTCAAAACAAAACGAAACAAAAACAAAAAAACCCCAGAAACACCAAGGGATCATTGTATATAATACCATCATGGCATGCTCTAACTACTGGTCATATTTCTCAATGACTTAAGAGATTTATAATGACTTTCAACTGCTTATAAGTACAGTTAATATTTTCAATATTCATAAATAGCTTTGGTTCTGAATAATAAACACTTATTTTGTCTCCATCATGAGAGTCAAAAAATATATTATGAGTTCTCATTTGCTGACATGAGTAGCAACTGGGTAAATAGGTTTTAGTTAAAAATGAAACTCTTTGACCTTTAACTTTTTTTTAAACAAGCCTGCTATTTCAGAGGGGCAGCTAGATGGTGCAGTGGATAAGGCAATGGGCCTGGGATTAAGAAAGACTCATCTTCTCCAATTCAAATCTGGCCTCAGACAACTTAGCTGTGTGACCTTGGGTAAGTCACCTAACTCTATTTGCCTTCTCATCTGTAAAATGAGCTGGATAAGGAAATGGCAAAACACTCCAGTATCTTTGCCAAGAAAACCTCAAATGGGGTCACAAAGAGTCAGACGTGACTAAAATTAAACTGAAAACTATTTCAGAGCAAGAATGAAACACACTACCTGCCTCTTGATAGAGAGGTGATGGATATAAGATGCAGAATGAGACACGCTTTTTTTCTGGACTTGGCCAACATAGGAACTTGTTTTGCCTGACTATGCATATTTGTTATAAGAATTTGTTATATATTCATCCTTCAAGCCATCGAGATGTTTTCCTTATAATTACCATATACTGTGTTAATAAATTACCTGGCATTAGTATAGATTTGCTCTAACTGCACAAAGGTTAGGGGAGAGTTTTGCTGTATTATTTTTAAGATACTGCATTACTGGGACAGCTAGGTGGCACAGTGGATAGAGCACCAGCCCTGAAGTCAGGAGGACCTGAGTTTAAATCTGGCCTCAGACCAATGCAGCCTTGACACTTACTAGCTGTGTGACCCTGGGCAATTAAACCCAATTACACACACACACACACACACACACCAAAAAAAAGAGATACTGCATTACTCTTACTACCGGGACCTGCTATTCTAGATTATACTAACTACCACTAAGAAAAAGGTCACAATCTCCCACTGCACTGGGGGCCATCACCAGTCATCCTGACCTACGTCTTGCCACTGGACTCCGATGACTCTGGAGCAGAGGGAGGCTGATGACTTCGCACAGCCCTGCCAATCACTTTCCCGTCAAGGCATCACCCTGCTAATGTCACTGGTCCTCTTCGAGGCTGAAGGACAAACAACAACTACCACTAAGATGAAGATACCGTGACGTGCTGGACGGCGCTATTTCACTGTCCCTCAAACGTAGTAATCATAAAAGCCACAATTTATTTAGTGCCTTACACACATGTCATCTCACTGGACCCCCATTAACTCTGTAAATCAGGTGCTACTATTATCCCGATTTTACAGACGATGTAACAGAAACCAAGTGAGTTGCTGAGGATCCCACAGCTATAGCACTGAGCACATCCCTGAGGAGGCCTTCCTGACTCCATGAACACCTCTGTGACCCCTCAACCCTCCCCACCACCGATATAAAGGAACAGCAGGGGAAGAGAGAAAATGGGGGCAAGTAACTGTCCAGCTATCTCATTCTGTGTTAAAATTCAAACGGGCACCGTGCGCTACTTCTAAGCTTCTTCACTCGTTTCTTCCGATGTGTGTTCCTGGCATAACAGTTTCATAAAATGAGAAAATGCTTGGTGTAAGTGATTTTGCCTCTTCACGGCCGTCTAACGCTTTATTTGTTCAAAGCATTTCTGCATGTATTATCTCATTTGAGTCCTGAAATAGCCCAGTCGCACAGGTGCAAAAAGTATCACTAAGGAATCCCCTCTTACAGGTGAAGAAATGAAGTATGAAAAAGAAGCTACAAGACTGGCTCCCTTTCTCAAGAGCTGGGTGGGTTGGGTGATTCAGGGAAGAACAAGGTTTCTTGATTCCCAGGCCAGGGTTTTATTAATGCACTATAGTATATGCAGTAACTCCTAAAAGAAAATCCAACAGTGTCAATTCTTTTCCATTTATTTAACTACATAACTTCACTACTTAAATTTGGCTATGGACTTTCAAGTACATACCCACTGAAATGCTGAGCTCTAAAAGCATTTAATCATGTTTTAAAGACAACTTTCAAAAATTATTATCTCAAATTCCATCTATGTAGGTAGCTACCTCCTCTACTCATGCAAATCACAGCTCACCTATGACTTAATAATCGTTGTAGAAACAATCAGCAAATGTATCAAGAATCATTTCAAGAGACATTGTCTTCTACTAAGTTTAGCAATATAAATGCAGATCTTTTTCTGATGCTAAAACTTACTTCTCTAGACAAAATTTCAACCCCCAAACTTTAGCACATGGGCTAAATTTCCCTCTAAGGATTTTAACTTACATATACAACAAATGTCTATATTGTAAATTAATATCAATTTTCCTTTGGGGAATAAGAAGCAGCAGCAATTCAAAGGGACTTCTTAGTGTAAAGTTAAGCCTAGCTTTACTTAATCAATTATAATAATAATTGAATAAGGCCATTAAGTTCATAACATAATGAAACAAATGAAAACAACATAAAGGCTTACATGTCCTCCCATGGATATTCCAGTCATCCCCAGAGGTCCATAACCCTCCCTCTCTAGCCAATGCAAGAGAGCTGCAGACTCTAGAACAAGGGCCCCTCCCATCACAAAGAGGTCAGACACATTTTTCAAGCTTGACCTTCTATTCTCAAAAAGAGAGAGAAAGAGAGAAGAATGGGCTTATTTAACAAAATTACATTTCTAAATATAGCATTTAACTAATAAAATCTTCTTAAATTAATCAAATGAGATAATATATGTAAAAGGCTCTGCCAGCCTTAAAGTGCTACATGTTAGCTATTATTATAGCATGTATAGCATGGAGAGCTAGCCTTGCAGCCAGAAAAACCTGGGTTCAATTCCCAACTCTGACATTAGCTTGTCTTACAGAACAGTTCTGGTAGCATGGACATGTATTAGGGATTGTCATATTATAAAGGGTGTGTGTGTGTGTGTGTGTGTGTGTGTGTGTGTGTGTGTTTAAATGTTAATTTTTTCTAATAAGAGAAATCAGACTAAAGCTAAGTTCTTCAATTTTTGTTTTATTTTGAACAGGGACAAAATAACATTACACACAAAACTCAGGCTACAGTGGCTTAAGAGCTTACACTTTAAATTCTCTCTCATGTCCTTTTCTGACCTGATTTCTTTTAAAAGTCAAACTTGTAAAAGGAGATCCACTGGAGTGCTGAGAGGTCGTCCTCGGTTCTACGACAATAGAGAAGTGTCTTTCTGGCAGATCTATGGCCCAAACCCCACGGGCTAAGTCCAGGGTGGACCCAAGATATACTAAATTCCAAATGCCCGCTCCAGTGAATCAGATTATAGCATGCTAAGATTCCAGTGTACAAATGTTTCAACTAATTTACCGATTTTCATTTTCACACTGTTTCAAGTCTCAAATCCTCAACCTCTAATGTTTTCATTTCCCATTCTCTTTTAATAATGAAAACTTTAAATCTGCTCTTAAAATTCATCACTACAGGAGTAATTAATTAATCACACCCATTCCTATGACTTCTCTGTCCAAAAGAATGCTTTCTGGCCATAACTACTACCTACATATGCTGTCACCCCTCATAAAAATATGTTACTTGAGGGCTTATATATGTATTTCTAGTACATGACACAGTGCCTGGCATCTAGTAAGGATCCCCTGAAGAAATACTTTTTCGTTCTCTCATTCATTCATAAATTCTTACTACAGATAAAATGAAATCCAGAAAAAGACTGAAACCTTAAATTCACAAAATAATCTTAAGCAAAACATTTTAACTGGGAGGGTACATTACTGCTTTAATTAATTTTATAAAGTGAAAAAATTTATTGCAATATCTCTTTGCCCCTCTATCATACGAAGCTTAAGGATTTTAAACCACTCTACCGTTCCTCACTAACTATGATTTGCTAGTGCTTTTTATCATGCAATCTTGTAGCAAGACAGACTTCACAACTGATTAAAATAGACAAAGAAGAACAAAACCCAACATTATACTTACACTTGATCTTTGGGTTTCCTACAGCCATTTAAGAATGTATGTCAAAGAAAAAGCTTAAATGGAATTTATATGAGCTCAATGCTCTAAAAAATAGGCCCTTAAACAAAGTGGCTTATCTGCTAACTACCAAGAATTAACTTTAGTTTGGGCATCATTACCTCCTGATTGCTATCCAGAAGCTCTGAACTTCCTCAACTCAATTTTATTAAAGTTAAGAGTTGGCCAAACTTCACCCAGACAGTCTTTGGAGCAAACACTGATGATAAATGCACCAAGATTATAAAATGCCTATTAAGCATTTTTTCAAATGTTACGATAAGTACACTAATAAAAAAAAGTACAATGGGATTTAAGCACTTCTGTTGGCAAAAAGAACACTTTCAGAAATGTGGATGGGCTTTCATGACGTAACTGAAAGCAAAACCAAAGAACTGGGCACATGATCACATAAAATGAAAACTGAATAGGAATGAACCATATTAGAGACTTAGAAGTGATTAAAAAGTCATGACATTGTACGTGTTGAAACTAATCTCACTTATTTAAAATATAAAAAGTGGTATGTGTTCTACTGCAAGTTAACATTAAGTTTCTACTGAATCACTACAGAATAAAAGCAGCAGCTCTGGCCTTGGAGTCAGAAGGACCTGAGTTCAAATCCAGTCTCAGACACTTGACACGTACTAGCTGTGTGACCTCGGGCAAGTCACTTAACCCTGAGTGCCTCACCAAAAGGCAAAACAAACAAACAAACAAATAAATAAATAATAAGAGAAGATCTTTTACTCAGGGAGAAAAAAAATTTCCATTAATCTTTAAAAAATCTCTTCAAAACCGAAAACTAATCAAACAAATCTTTACTTGTTTTAAAGGGGCAGGTTATCATGCACTTTCCATCAGACAGTCATGAAAAAACAAAAATTCTTGGTTATTGAAAAAGGATATAATAAGGGTTTTCTAACAACAAGGAAGCCATACATGCTTCCTTGATCATCGGGCGGGCCATCAGTGTTCGTCGTCTCCAGTAATGCTAGAGAAAGAAAACATGATAAACTTATAAGAACAAAAGCGTCACATTTATGAAGTAGGGTGAATTAACAAATTACTGTGGGCTCATGGTTTAACTGTCTTACATGATCTCCTGTTCCAGCAAGATGGATGCACACGGGTCTGTATTTACTGCTCCATTCTTTAGGTACAATGAATTGAAACCTATTTAAAAGATAATTTATAGTTACATTCTCAAGATGCTTCCCAGGAGAACATTTGAAATATCTTAAAATACTCACTTGTTTGTAAGTGCAAAAGGCCAAATTTTGGATTCTCAGATACTTCACAAAATGTCAGAGGTCTTTTAAGTCCAACCATAGCTGACAAAGAATCCCTTCAATGACTTCAGCAACTTACCCTCCAGCCTCCATTGGAAAGCACCCAATGAAGAGACAGCGCTTCTCAGGAGGCAGCCCATTTCCCCCTTGGAAAGCCTTAACAGTTAATGAGTTCTTCCTTACATCAAGCTCAAACCTGTCTCACTGCACATGTCACCCATTCAAGTGGTTAACTGAAACTCTGTTTGACACAAGGTATAAAACTATTAACAGCTTGCTAAAAGAGCACTCAAGTACAGCGATAAGAGAACTAGATTTGTAGCCATTAGACTTGAGTTCAAATCTAGCTCTGCCATTTACTAAATGTATATGACCTTGAGTCTCAGTTTCTTGATCTATAAAACAAGGGGATCAGACTAGTTCCAATTATGCCTTCTAAAGTTCCTTTCAATCAATAAATCAGCAAACATGTACAAAGTATTTAACATGTCCTTGGCACTAGGGATAGAAAGACAAAAGCCAAAACCAAGCCTGAACAAGAATTCTAGCTCTAGCATTGGGCCCATCCAGTCCCTACAAATGACAGTCATCATGATGAACATCGCCTGACATGTGGACAACCAGCCCCTACTTGGAGACTCCTTCAGGGGTAGGAGGTTGGGGCTAAGGGAGGATGGAAGGAGCACAGTTTACCACCAGCTTGGGCAGCCCACCCCCCTTGGAAGAGTTCTCATTGTTAGGATGTTTCCCCTACATTTACCTCATTGCAACAACACTGCCACTACCTATATTTTTATGGTCCTTTATCAGATGCCTCTCTTTCCAGGGGTGGGGAACATGTGGCCTTCTTTTTTCAGATTATACGTGTGTAGTCATGCAAAACACTTCCATAGTAGTCATGTTGTGAAAAACTAACTATATTTCCCTTCATCTTGTCCCACCCCACATTTATTCTATTCTTTTGACCCTGTCTCTCCTCAGAAGTGTTTGCTTCTGATTACCCCCTCCCCCAGTCTGCCCTCCTCTCTATCACCCCCCTGCTCTCTTGTCCCCTTCCCCCCTATTTTCCTATAGGATAAGATAGATTTCCATACCCAAGTGAGTGTGCATGTTATTCCCTCCTTAAGCCAGATCTGATGAGAATAAGATTCACTCATTCCCTCTCACCTTCCCCCACTTCCCCTCCACTGTAAAAGCCTTTTCTTGTCTGTTTTATGTGAGATAATTTACCCCATCTACCTCTCCCTTTCTCCTTCTCCCAATATAATCCTCTCACCCCTAAATTTTATTTTTTAGATATCACCCCTTCATCATCAACTCACCCTGTGCCCTCTATCTATCTATCTATCTATCTATCTATCTATCTATCTATAATTTTTTTCCCCTCCAACTACCTAATACTGACAAAGGTCTCATAAGTTACAAACATCATCTTTCCACGTAGGAATGTAAACAGTTCAACCTTAATAAGTCTCTTATGATTTCTGTTTCCTGTTTACCTCTTCATGTTTCACTTGAGTCTTGTATTTGAAAGTCAAATTTCCTATTCACCTCTGGCCTTTTATATGTACAACCAGTTTGCCAGCACTAAATGTCAACTCCTCAGACAGACACTATTTCCATTTGTCTGCTGTGCCTACCAGTGACTGATTCTTCACATTTACTTTTGGAGTTAATATTTTATTTATTTTGCTTCCCCCTTCCCCTGCCACCAAGCCCAAGGCAGCCCCTCTACACCATCCATCCACTGCCTGGGACCAAGCCGGAACACGTCTAATTACCAGCCCTTCAAGACTGAGTACAAATCACAGAGTTCTATCTCCTGCCCTGAGTCTGCTCTTCTCCAGCTTAAAAAGGCCCAGCTCCTCCAACCTATCCTTCTCTGATGTGCACTGAAGGCCTGGCCCCACCCAACCGCCTCTGACAATTTTTGTAACGCTGATTGGGTGGACTCACTGTTGTGAAATACAGGGCTCTTCTTAATCTCGGTTTCCTTAGGCGTGACCAAAGGCTCCCCACCACTAACACCAGGGATTACTTCCTCCTTAATTTAGGCCAGAACTTAAAATTAAAGACCTCCAACTCCAGGGTGCAGCACTGACCCATGGGCTGGCTTCTGGTACTTCACTCTATTGACAGCGGATTGGTGCTTGTCTTTTGAGATTAAAAAGCTTAGTCTTCCCTCTTTTACATTCTTTGGTTTCAAAAGACACTAAGCAGACATAGATAAAAATATCTATCGAGATGAATTAAATAAATTAATTAAATAGGAACCCTGTAAATGTGTTGCTGCCCAGTTTCTCGCCTCCCTTTCACAGCCTAACTCAGAAAAGCTATTTACGTCCACTGCCTCTTTTCCACCTTCCATTCACTTTTTAACACCCTGCAACCTGGCTTTTAATCTTGTGGCTTCTGGAAACCTTCATGCCATCACCAGCTTACTTTCTACCCCACCCCATGGCTGCTTCCATTTTAGAGGACAGAAGCAGCGATAGCAGAACCTCTGAATTGGTGGTGGGGGAAATAACATCCTTGTTTTCTCTAGCTACTCATCAGCCTTCCAGCACATTTGTCCCCTGCCATGGCAACAGTGGAGGCAGCTAGGTAGTTCAGTGGCTAGAACACCAGGCCTGGAGTCAGGAAGACTCCTCTTCCTGAGCTGAAATCCAGTTTCAGACATCTACTAACTGTGTGACCCTGGGCAAGTCACTTAACCCTATTTGACTCAGTGTCCTCATCTATAAAAAGAGCTGGAGAAGGAAATGGCAAACCACTCCAGTATCTCTGACAAGAAAACACCAAACGGGGTCACGAAGAGTTGGACTCCACTGAAATGACTGAATAGCATTGAAATAGTAAAGCCGCATTAATATATTTTACATGAAGACAACAATAATTCAGCCAAAATTAAGCAGACATTTCTAATTACATCATGTAAAAAACATAACCAAGCAAATTAATGATAAAGAAATAGGACTGTAGGAGGAATGAGAATGAAATGTTTTAACTTCAGGACTTTGGAAACACTCACTTCAATTGTTATACTGGTTACAAATTACTTATCCGTTCACGAAAGCAGTTTCCTTAAGGACTTCTAGCAGAAAACATGTCAGCCTATTCAAAGTTAGTGCATGTACTTAAAAAGTAACAAGACTCCTAATATCTCTTACTACTTCAGACCAGAACAAAATGAAAATCTTCTCCGAGCTTCCCTGAGCTGTTTCTTTGATATTCTTTTTTCAGCATGAAATCTCTTACCTGGCAATAACAGATTCAATGGGCATGAGATCAGGAATATAATGAGCCATTGGAGAAACAAAATGTCCTTCAAGAATTTTACAGTCAGTCTCTTCTTCAATCTGTCAGAGAAAGAAAGAAGCTAAGATGTGCATGCCGGTTGTAGGGAAGAAACCAGTAACCAAAGAGGTCAATTCAACAGGAGCTCTCCATGGCAGTGCTAAGGGCTACGGGCACAAAAGGAACAGAATGACAGCGATGGGCTAGGAACTTAAAAAGGAACTGGATGGCAAATCCTTTCGTACGATGTCTGTGCTACGAATCTCAATGCTCTTTTATCAGATATGATGAAAAGTGGGCTATATCATCCAGCTCACGAGGTTCTTTCAGGGTTTTGGGGAGAGGAACTTCTTGGCACACTATCTGAAATATCTGCATTATTTCATGGCAGTAATAAAGGATAAAGTTACACAGATACTTCAGCTACGACCATGCAGTCAGCCCACGCCCCAAGACCTCCAACTCTAGGGCACACAGCAGGCTCATGCAAATACAAGGGTTACATCTACATCTGTACTGCTCCAGACACCCATTAAAATTGGGCCAGAATTCACCTAGATTAGATTCTCTTTACCCTTTGATCAGAAATAAGCTCCCCTAGTTGGGGGGTTCCAGGCCAAGATTGAGCAGAATGTCTCATTGTCAGCCCTGTCCTTCTCTAGGGCTGGGTTCTGAACAGGAAATAAAGGGACAGCTAGGTGGCACAGTAGATAGAGCACTGGCCCTGAAGCCAGGAGGGCCTGAGTTCAAATCCCGACCTCAGACCAAACACTTGACACTTACTAGCTGTGTGACCCTGGGCAAGTCACTTAACCCCAACTGCCTTAAAAAAAATGAGTAGGAAATAAAAAGAGGAAAAACTCCACCAATAATTGGTTATTAACATAATAAGAAAACAGTCCAGATTGAATGTGTCAGTCTTCTCCTCTGGCCCCATCCACTATCCCCTAACTTTCAGAACCACCTGGAAGTACCCTATATCAAACCAAGTCCCTATCCTATATGGTGCCATCCCAAATTACTCAATTAATCTGGAAAATTAATCAGGAGGAACAAGAGGTTAAGAATCTTAACAGAATTTTTAAAAACGGGAAATAAGGGGGCCTAATAGTATCAACTCTCAAACTGTGTAATACAGAGCAGTTTTCATCAAAACTATTTGGAATTGGCTAAAACAAAACAAAACAGAAGAGTTGATCAGGTGGACAGACCAGGAGCACAAGATCTAAAAGCAAACATAGGAACACAGTGTTCAGTACACCCAAAGACCACAACTACTGTAGGAAGGATTCACTACTAGACAAAAACTGGAAAGCAGTCCATCAGCAGTTAGATTTAGATCAACACCTCACACCACAAAACTCAACAAATTCCAAATGGATGCACAGCCCAAGAGTCCATCATAAATAAATAAAATCAGGAGAATGGAAGGTGCTATCTTTCCAACTGAGGCTGGGAGAAGAAGCCTTGACCAAACTAGTGATTCAGAAGATCACAGGAGATAACATGGACAATTATAATCACATAGAATCGAAAATCTTTGCATGACCAAAATTAACACAACTAATAGCAAATGAAAACAGTTATTAACTAGAAACAAACTGCTTCAGCTAAGTCCTCTGACAAGGCTCTAACACCCAAGATCATTAATGATAACAACAGCTAATACGTACATGGCACTTACTATGTACCGAGTGCTAGGCTGAGAACTTCACAATTATCACATTTCTGATCTTCACGACAACTCTGGGAGGTGAGGGCTAACATCGTCCCCATGTTACAAATGAGGAAACTGAGGCAAATGGAGGTCAAGTGACTTGCCCAGGGTCATACAGTTAGTAAATGTCTGGGGCTGGATTTCAACTCGGGTTTTCCTAACTCCCTGTGCTCTACCCAGTGTGCCATCTCCCTGCCCCTCAAAAAGAGAACGGATTCAAATACTTCAGAACTGGAAGTGGAGGGGATTCCCGGGCACTGAGGAACGGCTGAGCAAGTCGTGGTATATGCATGTCATGGAATACTATGGTGCTATGAGAAATGATGAGCAGGCCGACTTCAGTAAAACCTGGCAAGACTTGTACGGGCCGATGCTGAGGGAAGGGAGCAGAGCCAGGAGCACACTGTACACAGCGTAACCAGCACACTGTGTGATGACTAACACCGACGGACTTAGCCCTTCTCAGCCATGCAAGGATCTAAGAAACCTCCAGAGGCCTCGTGAGGGAAAACGCCCTCCACATCCACAGAAAGAACGATGGAGTTTGAATGCAGATCGAAGCAGACTACTTGCTCTTTGTTTTCTTCTGTTTTGTTTTCTCTTTCTGGTGGTTCCTTCTATTGGTTCTAATTCCTCCTTACGACATCGCTAATGTGAAAATATGTTTAATGGGAATGTATATGTAGAGCCTATATCAGACTGCGCACTGTCTTAGGGAGGGAGGTGAGGAGGCAGAGGAAGAAAAATCTAAAACTCAAAAGCACATGGAAGTGATTGTTGATAAATGAAAATAAAGTAATAAAAAAAAAAGAGCTCTCCTACAATAGATAAATGGACAAGAGATGAACAGGAAGCTCTAGGAAAAAAAAAGAAAAGCAAACTGTCAACAGCCGCATGAAAAATGTTCTGAATCACTAATTAAGAAAGAAATAAAAATTACAGTAACTGCACCTCACATCCATCAGATTAGCAAAGATTTAAAAAAGGAAGACGAAAGTTGTTGGAGGGAGGACAGGCACGTGAATGCTCTCCTGGTGGAACACTCGAATTGGCACAGCCCCTCCAAAGCAACACACTCAAAGTCACTCAATTCAGCACTCCTTCGACCCAGAAACTCCAACAGCAGCCATATAACCCAGACAGCTTAAAAAAAAGGGTAAAATCCACACATAGAAGAATATTTAGTTTCACTTTTGTTGTAGCAAAGAAAACAAACAGAAAGGTGCCCATCCACTGGACAAGGGCTATATATTGGACCGCGGGGCAGGACACAACGGACTACGGCTGCCTTACAAGAAGTGATGGAAAGGATGGGTTCAAAAACTTGTATGAGCTGATGCAGAGTGAAGTGAGTAGCATCTGCAGAACCAAGTATACGAGGACTACCACCCAGCAAAGAAATGATACATTTAAGGCTTACGGGACCAGAAGGAGGCAGATGTTTCCCAGTGTGTGCATTGGTTCTGCTTGGGTACGGCCTTTCCTGTCGCCCTCCTCCCCCCATGGATCCCCGCCCCCAAGCCCTACATCTGTCAGCCATTTCCTTAGATATGTTTTGTATACAGTTGGTCATGTTGTCTCTCCCTTTATCATGTGAGCTCCTCGAGTAGCATCTGTCTCTTTTTTTCCCCCGCTAGGCCAACGGGGTTAAGTGACTTGCCCAGGGTCACACGACTACTGAGTTCTGGCCGGATCTGAACTCAGGCCCTCCTGACTCCAGCCAGGGCCAGTGCTCTATCCACTGTACCACCTGGCTGTCCCAGCAGCATCTCTTTCTCTTTTGACTCTGTATCCCCAGATCATAGCACAGTGCCTGGAAAATTTTTTTAATTTTCCCCCCACTTAACACGTAAAAACAATTTTAAACACTGTTTTTTAAAGTTTTGAGTCCCCAATTCTATCCCTCCCTTCCTTCTCCCCTCCCTGAGACAGTAAGCAACTTGATATAGATTATACATGTGCAATCACATAAAACACATTTCCCTGTTAGTCATTTTGTGAAAGAAAACATAAAAGGAAGGAAAGAATGAAGGAAGGAAGGGAGGGAAAGAAGAAGAGAGAAAGAGAAAGAAAAAGAAAGAGAAAATATGCTTCTGTCTGTACAAAGACATCATCAGTTCTTTTTCTGGAGGTGGATAGCAATTTTTGTCTTGAGTCCTTTGGGATCATCTTCGATCACTGTATTACTGGGAAGTTATTCACAGTTGTTCATTGTACAATACTGCTGTTACTGGGCACAGTGTTCTCCTGACTCTGCTCACTTCACTCTGCATCAGTTCATGGAAGTCTTTCCAGATTTTTCTGAAATCCTCCTGCTCACCATTTCTTACAGCACAGAAATATTCCACATTACAATCAGATTTTATTTTTTTAGACATCACCCCTTCATCTTCAACTCACCCTGTGCCCTCTATCTATCTATCTATCTATCTATCTATCTATCTATATCTATCTATACACATAATTTTCCCCCCTCCAACTACCGTACAATTTGTTCAGCCATTCCCCTCATTAAGGGGCATCCCCTCAATTTCCAATTCTTAGATACCACAAAAAGAGCGATCATAAATATTTTTGTACAAATAGGTTCCTTTCCGTTTGGAAAAAAAACACAACTCTTTGGGACACAGACCTAGTGGTAGTACTGCTGGATCAAAGGGTCTGCACAGTCTGGCTGCCCTCTGGGTACAGTTCCAAATTGCTCTCCAGGATAGCTGATCAGTTCACAACACCCCCCAAAGTGTATTAGCATCTCCAGTTTCCCACTTCCCCTCCAACGTTTATCATTTTACTTTTCTGTCATATCAGCCAATCTGAGAGGTCTGAGGTGGAACCTCAGAGTTGCTTTAATTTTAGTTTCTCTATTCAAAAGTGATTTAGAGCATTTTTATGACTATATATAGCTTCGATTTCTTTGTCTGAAAATTGCCTGTTCATATTCTTTGATCATTTCTCAACTGGGAAATGACTTGCATTCTTGTAAATTTGACTCAGTTCTCTATATATCTGAGAAATAAGGTATACCAGAGATACTTGCTGCAAAAAAATCTCCCTCCCTGCCCCCGTTTTGTTTTCTTTCTAATTTTAGTTGCATTGGCTTTGTTTGAGCAAAACCCTTTAAATAATCAAAATTATCCATTTTCCTTTTATAATGCTATCTGTTCTTTAATCCTAAATTCTTCCTTTATCCATAGATCTGGCAGGTTAACTATTCCATGCTCCCTAATTTGCTTATGATATCACCCTTTATGTGTTAATCATGTACCCATTTTGACTCTATCTTGGTATAAGGTGTGAGATGCTGTTCTATACCTAGGTGTTTTTTAAAAAAATTTTTAAATTAATTAATTTATTTTTAGTTTTCAACATTTACTTCCATAAGATTTTGAGTTCCAAATTTTCTCCCCATCTCGTCTCCCCCCCCACCCCAAGACGGTGAGTGACCACAAGCACTCTTTTCTGCCTTGGAACTATGAGGAAGATTCCCTCTACTCTGCCACTACAAGTCCACCATGCCAGCCCTCCTCCTCGCCGCAACACTGCCACCCAGAACTGTGACCCAGATCCAAGCATGGGCAAAGCAAGAGAATACTGCCTCAGCACCAGCAAAGAGATCCCTTCAATTCCCACTCTGATCAGCCACCTGATTCCCTCTGAGTCTGTGGGCTGAGAGCCTCAGAAGCAGCCACCATCCTGGGGCTGTGCTGGGACCAGGGTTGGGACCGAGCTTCTCTCTCACCACAACCACACCTACTGACTTTCTAAGTTGTCTTTGGCATTTGTGGGTTGAGAAGTCTGGAAACCACCACAGCTGCCCATGATTCAGTCCCCTAAGGCCTTCTCCAGGTTCACTGAGGCCTGGTCTTTGCCTGAGAACCCACAGTGACCTATGCTCCTCTCCCAATCCGGCGCAATAGATCTTTCCAATCAACTATCTAGGTTGTCTTGGGCTGGAAATTTGTTTCACTGCTTTTTTGTGGGTTCTGCTGCTCTACAATGTGTTTAGAGCCATTTTTTACAGGTATTTGGAGGGGTTTGGGGGAGAGCTCAAGCAAGTCACTACTTTCACTCTGCCACCTTGGCTCCGCCCCTATACCTCATTTCTGCCATACTATTTTCTACTATTCTATTTCTTAGCCAGTAGCAGACTGTTTTGATGATTTCCCCTTTACAATACAGTTTGAGATTGGTATGGCTAGGCCATCTTCCTTCACATTTTTTCACTGATTCCTGTGATATTCTTGACCTTTTGTTCTTCCAGATCAATCTTGTTATTTTTTTCTAGCTCTATCAAATAATTTTTTGGTAGTCTGATTAATATGGCAGTGAATAAACAGACTAATTTAGGTAAAATTGTCATTTTTATTATATTGTTTTGGCCTACTCGTGAACAATTACAATCTTTCCAACTGTTTAGATCTGACTTTGTGTGAAAAGTATTTTGTAATTGTGTTTATATAGTTCCTGGGTTTGTCTTGGCAGGTAGATGCCCAAGTATTTCATACTGTCTACAATTATTTTAAACGGAATTTCTCTATTTCTTGTTGCTGGACTTTGTTGGTAATACGTAGAAATGCTGATGACTTATGTGGGTTTATTTTTTATCCTGCAACTTTGCTAAAGTTGTTAATTACTTCAACTAGCTTTTTAGTTGATTGTCTAGGATTCTCTAAGTATTACATAATAAACACCTAATGACTGATCAACAAATGAGTTTAATATGCAAATAAAAAGCAGGTTTATTCCTATGTTTTAACATTCAATTTAACTGTAGCATATGCTTTCTTTAAAATTTAGATAACTAAATAATTTTATTTTGAATACCTTGTCAATGTACACTGGATAATCTCTTGAAACCATGTTCTGGCATTTTTCTCGATTACCAATTATCTTTCTGAATTCAAATAGTCTATTATGAAAAAAAGAAAAAAGAATGAGTTCAGTTTTTCATCCATGAAAAAAAAATCACATTACAAAATAATTGAAACTAGGTCAAGATGCTAAATTATTAAGACTTTTTTTTTAACCTATTCCAAAAAATCCAGTTTATAGTTCTATAAGTATTCTTAATTTTTAAGTACTAAGTGCTTTTTAATAAACATAATTTATAACTTTATACTAAGATTTAGGAAAGCTAAATAAGAAACTTTTTGATTTGAAGGATAATCACAACTATTAATATACTATTTTAATAATATACTACTTGAAATGTGACATTGGTCAAGTTACTTGACCTTTGCTTCAGTGTCTTCAACTGTAAAATAGGGATAATAAACAGCACCTCTCTCCTAGGATCAAATGAGATAACCTATATAAAGTGCATCTGCAAACCTCAAAGTGGTGTGTGCCAGCTATAAAAGCACTCATAAGTGTGGGTGCTCATCCCTTCAAATCACAACCCTTATGTCACTGAGTAGATGATCCTAGGGAGTTATTCTGACCAAGAATATCATCTCTGCAGCCAAGCTGAAGATAAAAGGACTAAATGATCTAAATTAAATATTTACTTGGACTAATAACTTCATGCAAAAAGACACCTGCAATTCTAGTTTGAATATGCGGGGCAAAATGCTCACCGTTTCAGATCTTCAGGCCTTCCCCATCCTCTGATGAAAAGCTTTGTGAGGAGAAGCCGTCGGTAAAAAACATCTAACTTGCTCACACCCATTAGGACATCTAAAAAGCAAACACATACAACACTGTGAACTGATTTTACCAATGTCACTCTTGAACATGGGAGCTTTCTAGCAAGTATAAATTTCAAGCTTTAATTTTTCCCTCAGGAACAAGGCTGGACAAAAAGCCGTGACAGGAAAAGGAAAAAAGAAGGTGAAATGAGAGACAAAGGATGACAATGGAGGAAAAATTAATAGACGTCATCTGATTTTAAAATATTTTCTTGCTGCTTTCATCTTCCAAAGTTTATACTCTTTACCAATGAACTTTCAACTCACAGACAGTTTGTGGTAGGTGCTGGGGGTAATTCACCTTTTAAGTCTATTCCATTCAGCTAAGGAGAATTTAAACTTGCGTTTCTTACAAAGTGTTCTAACGAGTGCTCTACATGGAGTATTCTAGAGTTAGGAAGATCTGAGTTTAATTCTAGCCTCAGACACTTATTTGCTGTGTGACCCTGGGCAATTTAGCTAACCTCCCTCATCTCATCTATAAAAACGAGCCCTCCCAGGGCTGTTGTGGGAATGAAATGAGATGACAGCACTTTGCAAATCTTAAAGTGCTATAGAAATGTTAGGTTGGTTTTTTTTCCCCTTTCAATTTAACAAGCATTTAAGTAACAAACATGAGAAAGGTGTAAGAAGACTGGAAAAATAAGAAGAGGCTAAGTCAGGGGTGGGGAATCTGCAGCCTTGAGGCCACATGTGGCCCTCTAGGTCCTCAAGTGCGACCCTTTGACCTGAATCCAAACTTCACAGAATAAATCTTTTTATTAAGGGGTTCCCCAACTCTGGGCTAGGTAATGAATGGCTTTGAATACCAAATAGAGTACTTTCTATCTAACCCTGGAGGCCACAAGGAGCCACTGAGTTGGGGGGTGACATGATGGGACTTCCAATTTAGAAAAATCACTTTAGTGGCTGAATAGAAGATTAATTGGAGTACAGAGAGACTTGAGGCAGGCAGATCCACTAGTGGTCCCAGCATGAGAGGGCCTGCATCAGGGTGGGGGGCTGTGTCAGAGGAGACAGGGGAGCATATTCTTGAGGTGTTATAGAGGTAGAAATGACAAACCTTCAAAATAGCTTGAATATGGGGGTGGGGGAGGGGGTGTGTGAGAGATAATGAGGAATCCAGGATGACTCCTAGGTTGTGAGCCTGAGGGACTGGGAGGCTGGTATTCCCATCTTAAAAGGGAAGGTGGTGAGGGAGAGGGTGAGTTCTGTTTTGGATGTTTTGAATTTAAGATGTTTGCTGCATATGGAGTTTGAAATGTATTGAAAGGCAGTTACAGATGGGAGACAGGAGGTCAGCCTAGAGATTTGAGAATCACCAGCAGTGAGATGGTAATTAAATGCATGGGAACTGATGAGATCACCCACCAAGTGAAGTGGTAGAAAGAGCGAAGGGAAGAAAGTCCAGGACAGAACCCTGGGGGACACAATAGTTAAGAGGGCTGATCAGATAGGGAGGAGGAAAACTAGGAGAGAGAATAAAGTGTCAAGGGGGAAGAGACTGAAACCCAGGTCTCTCTGGACTCCACAACTGTGTGTGTGTAACTGATGAAGATGGAAGGAAAGGACAACCCACGCTCAACTCTCTGGAGCAGAGATAAAGTTCTAAGACAGTGTTCTTCAATGCTCTCTGCTCTCACCACCTGGCTGCTTAGGAAGGTGGGATGGACGACAGGAGGAGGAGACAGCCACTTGTCCCAATGGATAACTCAGAAACAGAGTCCACTTCACAAATTCTTAGACTACTGAGAACTTCAAAAGTGGAAGGAACCAGAAGGATCAAATTTAGCCTCACTTTATAACCTTGGTGAAGCTAAGAGGCTTGTCCAAGACCACACTGCTCACCAGAGGCAGAACCAGAACTGGATCTCAGACTTCCTAACATCCGGGCCAATCTTTCCACTGTGATATAACACCCCAGTTCCTTTTTACACCCCCCCCCCACGATTCCCAGATGTACATACCCAGCCCTTGTTTCTCCGCTGAGCTCCAGTCACACACCACCAAGCGTACGCCTCAGAGGAGATGTCTTGTAGCTATTTCAAACTCAACACGTCTACAAAGTACAACTTCCCTCCTTCCTCCGAATCCTCCCCTGTCCCTCGCTCTCCTATTATCATGGACCATACTATGACTTTACCTTCCCATCACCCAGGCGCAGCAGCTCAGCATCATCTTTAACTGCTCACTCGCACTCACTGTTACACATTCAGTTGATTTCCAAACCTTGTCATTTCGATCTTTACAGCATCTCAGTCAATAAACACGTATTAAAAGCCTGCTATGTGCCAGGCACTGTGCTAAGGGCTGTGGGGTCAAAAGAAGGCACAAAACAGTCCCTGCCCTCAAGAAGCCACAATTGAACGGGAGAGACAACAGGCAAACAAATAAGTGGGAACTATATACAGGCTAAACAGGAATAATTAACAAAGGAAAGGCACTAGAATTAAGAGGGATAGGGAAAGGCTCCCAGTAGAAGATGGGATTTTATCTGGGACTCAAAGAAAGTTAGAGAATTTGGGAGGAGGAGATGAGGGGAGAGTGTAATCCAGGGGGATTACATGGCGGACTGCTGAGAAAATGCCTGGAGCTGGAAATGGAGGGTCTCGTTCACAGAACAGCAAGGAGGCTGATGTCATTGGGTCAGAGTACCCAAGGCTGTCTATCTGTGGTACATTCTCCCTTCTCCCTACTCACACCCCGACCACCCTAATTCAGACTCTCATCATCTCTCCCCTAGACTACTTCGATGGCCTTCTCTTATCCGTCTCCTGCCTCATCTCTCTATTCTGCTACCAAAGCAATTTCCCTGAAGTTTTCCCTAAAATTTCCCAAATCTGACACCCCATCCTCCTGTCAATTCCTTCATTTCGCCCTCTGTCCTTCCCTCTCTTCCACCCAACCTCTCTCCCACACATTCAGTAAACTCAAGTGGCTACTACTTCCAGGGTCAAACCTAAAGCTCTGTAGCATTTAAAGCTTTTCACCACCTGGTCCCTTTCTACCTTTCCAGGCTCCTTACACTCTGTCTATACCTTGCGCGTACCCAGTTATTTATATATGTTGCTTCTCTTATTGGAATATGAGCTCGTTGAGGGCACGGACTTCATCCCCAACTGTTTGGTACAGACCTCTTCTGCTCAATAAATGTTAGCTGAGTCACTGACTAAGAAAACAAAGACTGTGACCTGGTAGAACTTAAAATCTAGTTGGAGGAGGCAAGTCTCATTACCTTATAATTTTTAGGGCCAAATATATTCCTTATTATTAAAAAATTATTATTCAAATGAAAACATTCACTTGAATAAACCTAATTCAGTAGGTCTTTCTCTAAGAGGAAAAAAAGGACCCCCCCCCAAAAACCAAACCAAAAAATAACTATTTGCCATAATTTTAACACAGTACAACTCATTGATTTTCACATGGGGTGCAGCAATAGGTATTTCTTTAAAATTTATTTTTCAAATAACCATTTATATTTTTTAAAGTTATAAACTACCCATACTGGCCTCTATCATCATAAATTCAATTTCCCTTGAGCTAGCAGATGTCATGAACCAGCAAAGACCAAACAAAATAAAATGCAGTGTGCTACCTGCTCTTCCCAGCCTAGCATCTGGAAAGTCACACCCACAGCTCTACCTGCAGATGCACAAAGCCAAAAACTTCTCCTTTGTGAATCCTGAGGAAGCAAAGAAAGAAGATGGTGACAGGATGGGAGAAAGGAAGAAGGCAGAGGAATCTCAAGATCCCGAGAACAGGACAGGAGGCCTGACTAAACTGCATGCTTCTTTGCTGCAAACAAAGAGTGCCCTGATACTGTGCCTTCAGAAGTTTGAGGACCACAAAGATCCCAGAAGCAGGAATGTTAGCTTACTTAAGGGGAAAAAGGAACCTTGAAAGGTCATCTCTGGTCTACTCCCAGATTTCAAAATTTCTTTTTTAAAATGTGTCAGACAATATAATTCTTCCATTTTAAAAGAAAAAAATTTGTCTTGTTTTTACACCAATTTCATTTCCCAATAGGTCCCTTACCTACCCTCTCCCTCACAATGAAAGAACATTTAAAAAACCTGCTTAGACAAACCACCCACCAGCCAAATCCCACACAACATGCAGCGTCTCCCATGCAGTCTCCTGCGCTTCACAAAGAAGAAGGAGGAAACCTCAACTCTGCCTTGGGGCCAAGCTCGGTCATCATGATTTCACAGCGTCTGAGGTCCATGATTTTTGGTCATTTTTCTGGTTCCTTCCATTTACACTGTTTTAGCGGAGCATATTGTTTTATTGGTTTTGTTTCCTTCATTCTGCATCATTTCACATATACACCAATTCTCATCCACATTTCTATTTTCTTTCTATTCACTACTATACAGCGCAGTATTAGTGCTATGTTACAGGACCACTAAACTGACATACCACAACCTGCTCAGCCATTTTCCAGCTAATAAGCACTGGAATTTGTTTCCAGTTCTTTGCTACTTGATAAAGTGTCACTAGGTCATGATGTACTTGAGACCTTTCTACCTTTGACCTCACTGGGTATATGCCTGCCCTGAGTCAAATAGTATGGACATGTCAGTCACTCTCTTGGTATAATTCCAAATTCCTTCCTAGAAGGTCAGTTGACAACTCTACCAAAAGCAAGGCTACAGTGACTATTCCCATCTTTGTCAACTGAGAACCACAAACACTGGGGGCCTGTTCCATCCCAAACACTGTGCTAACTATCTTAGTGCCTCATCTCTCAAACCAGTTCTTTACCGCGTGCTCCTTTTTGAGCAGAATACAGCTCACATCTTGAGTTACCTTCTACTAGAGCAAGAAAGTGGCTAAAGCTGATGTCAGAAAAGCACTGATGAACACAGATGCCCCTCTCTGCTGTTCCACGGTGCTACCTGCCCTACTAGAAAGGGCTGCCTTAGGGGACAGCACATTCTCTGACACCGAAGGCCATAACATGGAGGCTGGGATCACCCATCCTGTTGTTTAGAGGACTCTTAGAGACTTACGTTTCAGGGAAGGGATTACAAGATGATCAGTGAGGTTCCTTTCAAATCTTGGGAGTCTGTGGTTCTAGAGCAGAGGCAGGGAACCTGTGGCCCGGTTCTAGAGAATAAAAAGAAGAGCATCAGACCACACACTTCACAGTGCCCAGGGGAAAAAAAAAAAAAGAAGAGCAATACACAGTCCCTCCCCTCACAGAATCTACCAGGGTGTGATCAAATTTTGTGCTATAAGATTAAAAAAAAAAAAAAGGTAGTTCAGAAGAAAAAGACAACATCTTAATTAGGAGAATTAATGGTGACATACCGAAACAATTTCTGAGCTAAGAATCAGACTATAAATAATTTACCTTTGTGGCCCCACCAAGCACTGCCCAGTTAGAATGTGCCACCACCACCAACAGTCTTAATCTTTACAGAGACAATGTGATCTTGGGCATGTTGTTTGCGAGAACAAACCCCAAAACCTGAAATAGTTTTAGAAAGAAATTTATTAGATTGTTTATTAGTAGACAGTGAGCTGGAGAGGAGGTTTACATCCAGGCTCTGGAAGGTTTACCTGTTTAGGTTTTAGACAAGCATGCTCGCCCATGAACCACAGAGTGAAGCAATTTTGCTGAGAGGGAAACCAGAAAGCAAGGAGATTGAATAAAATTTGGGCGAAGCCAAAACACAACAGAACCCAAAACATAAGCTTGGGTGGACCCAAAACACCCTGCAGTCATCTCCAGCATGCCTAGAAAGTTACTGGAGTCAGGTGACATTCCGGGTGCTGACAGCCTTCAATCACATAGCGTTGCATTTAAACAGCATAAATTTTCTGAGCAATATAATAAATCATTTCTCCTACAGGCACCGTTTCTCGTTGCCCCCATCTGACCTCATCTTGAACATTTTCAGGACGGCACTGATAAGTTGGAGGGTGTCTAGAGCAGGGCAAACAGGAAGGTGGAGAGCAATAAGTCCACATCATCAGAGAAATTGAAGGAACTAGTCACGTTTAGCCTGGAGAACAGAAGATTCAGACATGTGAGCTGAGCTATGTCCAGGTATCTGAAGAGCTGTCAGACTGAAGGAAGGATCAGAGTGGTTCTGTTTGGCGGTGGAGAGCAGAGCCAGGAATGAGGTGGGGGGCGAGGCTCACAGTTGTAAAGAAGAAGATTAGGGTTACCTTCCAACAACCAGAGCTGTCCAAAAGCATTATGGGGGCCTTAAAAATGCAGCAGGTTCCTTCTCCTCAGAGATCTTCAATCACAAAGGAAGGGGAGACTTCTGCGGAGTCTGCTGCTTACAGTAGCGACTCCTCTCACATGTGGAGTCCCTTCCAACCATAAAATTCTGCACATCTCTCTATTTCATCAGAGCAAATATATTTCCATCCTATAAACCAGTGGCTCTGGGAATTGTGGACCTTATTTAATACTGTTTTCTCCAAGGTAATGATATCTTCTTTTAAAAAAAATTTTACTTTTCCCACCAATTACATGTTAAAACAACTTTTAAAACTTTCAAAAAAAAATTTGAGTTCCAAATTCTATCTCCTTCTCTTCACTCTCCCTGAGACAGTAAGTAATCTGATACAGTAGTTTATATATGTGCAATCATGTAAAACACTTCCACATTAGTCATTTTGTACAAGAAAGAAAACTTGAAAAGAAAGAAAGAAAAGAGAAAAATAGTGTGCTTCAGGCTATCTTCAGAGAGTATCAGTTCTTCTGATCATGTTTTAAATGCTAAATCCAAAGGCTTTTTCTCTATTCTCTTTCTTCTCAACTTCCCTGCAGGTTCTGACACTTCATCAGCCCTTCTTCCCAAATACTTGCACTTTCCTTAACACCCACATGACTTTTTTGTCTTGTGATTCTCCTCCTACTAGTCAGACCACTCTTTCTCAGGCATCAATGATGCTCTGTCTCCTCAGTATGGGCGTCCTACACAGTTTTTGTCCTTTTTCTTACTTCTTATAACCAGTAACACTCCATTACTATAATTTGTTTAACCAATTCCCAATTGACATGTTACTTTCCAGTTCTTCCCTACAACAAAAAGTGCTGCTATACATATTTTTGTACATATGGGTCTTTGTCTTTGATCTCTTTGGGGTATATACTATATACCTAGTATTGGTATCACTGAACCACATGAAGAATCTGGACAAAACAAGAAGAGAATGCAAGACTCTTCCTCGAACTATAACTAGGGGAAGAAATCCTCATTAAACAAGGGAAAGAAGAAATTATAAAAGGGGCATTTAAGTTATATAAAATTTAAATGCTTTTATAAAAATAACAACAATGAAGCGATAGAGAAGAGGTTAATTGGGGCAAACGTTTACAGCAATTTCTCTGATAAAGATCTAATATATATGCATATGTAAATACACACACACAGTATATAACTGATAGAAATATAAGCAAGAACCAATTTCCAAAAATGAACAAGAAATTTTCCCAAAAGATCCAAGCTACAAACAACTATATGAAATAAGCTCCAAATCACTAAGAAAAAATACAACTTAAAATTAGGTTTTACCTCACATTCATCAGATTGGCAAAGCTTAAAATGCTAAGTTTTACATGGGCTATGGGAAGACAGGTGCACTAATAAATTGCTAGGGCAGCTATGAACTGATCCTACCATTCTGGAAAACAACTTAGAATTTTTTTTTTAAAGTCAACAAATTGTATACACCCTATGATCACCTGGTTACCTGATACAACTGCTAGGCATATACTCCAAGGAGACAAAGAGGGAAAAAATCTCATATACAATAATATTGATAGCAGCACTTTTTGTAGTAGCCAAAAACTAGAAGAAAACTGACTACTCATTGATTGCAGAATGGTTGAATAAATTGTGGTGTGTGAATGCAATGGGATATCGATATATAATAAGAAATTAACATGAAGAATTCAGAGAACTTCGGAAGTCTGCAACAGGTATCAACTGCCATGATCATGATAAAGGAAAACAACCTAGAAAGACTTCAGAATTCTCAAGTCTGGCAGTGATGGCCAAGCACGACTCCGAAGAAGTCACTCGTGAAGTATCTCTCCCACCCTTCACTGAAACATACATTTTCATCCCCATGAATCCTTGAGTTCTGTCAGGATGCAAAACAACAGGGCTCAGGAATTAAATTAAGGAAATCTGCCAATATAAGCTACAAAGCAAAGTGCCCCACTTAAAGTCAATACCAGAGAGAAAGATTAGCTCCATTAAAAAAAAAAAGTGCTCCACTGCCAAGGAATGAGCTCTCTTTCCTAGAACTGAATTTCATTAAGCTGAGCTGTGTTACTAAAATGAAGCAACTGTCTGGCAACCGGTGTAAAGATCTTGTATCACTGCTCTCCAGACATTTAAGTAACACGACCTTTGATTTCACTGCTTTGTACTGATATCCTTCATTACTTTTATTTATCCTAAAAAGTAATTAAAGTTATTTTAAATTTGCAAGGTATAGAGGAGCCATGTTTTTGTGGAGTTTTTTTAAAACCTCCTTTTTAATCCTATAACTTCATTTTTATTCACTTCTCACTTTTCCTTACTTGGCATAGTGAAGAGTTTGGGGTTGGAGTGCAAAGCCCTTAACTCTAAATCGAACCTAGGACCAGGGGTAGGAGGCCACTAAACTTTTCGGCTGCCTCAACTTCCTCACACGTAAAATACGGACGGCAAAAGTCTACCTACCCATTTGACAGGGTGACTGTAAGAAGATCACTATGTAAATCTTAAAGTGTTATTGAAACGTGGGCTGTTTTCTTACAGAGAGCTGCAAAGGGAGTAGAGACCCCCCCCCAACAAATCAGAACTTTAAAATGGCTTTTTAAAACCAAGAGGGTAGCAACAAGCCTCTTTCAATGCCTCCCTTTTACGGAGGCAACTTTTCCCATCAGCTGCTCACTTGGACTCCCCAACGATAAGCTCATCACCTGAAACCTCACCATCTCGGAGCCGCATTCGGCTTTGCCATTCAACCCCTCAGCTGCCTCTCCCTGTGATTGGGGCGCCCGGAGGGTGGGGCAATGAACTCCTCCCTTCTCGGAGCGCTCTGCCTGTGCCATCAGCCGCTGCGCTAGCTTTCTGGCCCTGGAAGAGTCGGCTTCTGAGTGCTCTCTCTCCCCTAGAAGGCTCTATTTTGCCTTAGAGTTATCGCGGGGCCAAGCAACATCGCAGCGCCCTAGGGCTTTGTGTTTGTCTTCTTCTGTCCGGTGCATTTTACAAATAAGGAAGTCGAGACCCGGCTATTGTCTGGGGCCAACATTTGAACTCGGGTCTTTCTGACTCCAAGCCTGGTACTACCCCCACCGTGCCACCTAGCTGCCCCATGCTAGAACCAAGCACACAGTAAGCACTTAATAAGTGTTTACTGACTGAGAAATGAGCACGCCAGAGACAAAGAGGAGCTTGGGTTTTCAGCAAAGCCAGGGTACAAGTTTGTGGCCTCAAACGGAAACTGTAACACAACACTCTTTTTCACACCTCCTGCGAACGTCACAAAAAGTGAAAAAACATCCACAGTCCTCGAAGACGGATCTTCTAACGAGACAGGCGAGGGACACATTAGCTCCCATTTGTTTTTGGTGGCGAACTCCGGCCGGGACAACCGCGCGAACCCGACTCCGCAGCGTCGGCTGCGATCTGGAGTCGAGGATGCAGCAGGACAGGCGCGGAGTCTCCGCGAGGAGCAGGAGGCGGAGGATGCGGATGGATGCGAGCGGCATCTCTCTGCGCCCTTGACCACAGACACAAAAAGACGATTCCCAAAGCGAGGCGGAGAATAAAAGAGCGGCTCCCGAGCACCTCCCGGAGGGAAGGGCCTCCGGACGGCTGCGGGGACCCGCGCTCACTGGCAACACAGCCAGCAGCGCAGGCAGGACTCAGGAGAGCCCATCGTAATTTCTATTAATAAAGCCCGATTACGCACTTTCTGGGGGCTGGGGGGGGTGGTGCTGGGGATACACAAAGAAGCGACAGACGGCCCCCGCCCTCCCCGATGGGGGGGGTCAACATGCAAATACACACGTGCAAAGCGAGCTATGCGCAGAACGGGAAACAACGGGGGGGGGAGGCAGAGGCCCGGCCCGGGGCCGAGGATCCGCGCCGGGAGGTCTGCGCGGCCCGGGGCGCCCGTGCCCTGCCCCGCTCACGCAGCTGCCGCGGCTCCCTGCTGCCCGCGGGGGAGCACGAGGCCCCCCGCAGAGGAGGCACGACGGGGAGGGGCCGCCCCCAAGGTGACCGCACAAGGAACAAACAGGCGGGCGGATGCGCCTCCCGTGACCCCACCCTGGGGTCCGAGGACCCGCGCTGGAAGGACCCCGACGCCGGCTCCTTTCCCACGGCCCCTCCCCCCATCCTATACAGGAGGAAACTGAGGCTCGGGGAGAAGCGACTTACCCAAGGTCACCTGAGCCGCAGCAGGCGGAGCGGGATGCAGGAAGCCTCTTCCTCTTTCCCGCGGGGCCTCAGTTTCCAGCCCGGCCCCAGCACGGCGCGCGCCGGCCCGCACGTACCTCCGCCTCTCCCGCCCCCGGCGCGCGCCCTCGCCCTGCCTCTCCCCCCGCCCCGGGCGCGCGCCCGCGCTCCGCCCTGTCCCCACCCCGCCTCGCGCCACTCACCGAGGGCCCGAACCGCGGGACGCTCCAAACAGCCCTCGGGCCTCCCAGGCCCTCCAGTGCGGGGTTCCTCCCCTCAGGCCCACCTGCCGCACCCGCCCACAGCGGGGGGGGGGCGGAGGAGACTGCGGTCGCGGCCGGGGGGAGGGGCGAGCGTCCGTTTGGACCTTGCCGGTCCTCCATCTCGTGTCAGGTGGCGCCGCCATCTGGCGGGCTGCCAGGGAAGGGTCACGGGGTGTTGGGGGAGGGGAGGCCTAGGCTCTCCAGCTCGGCCCGCTCTCCTGCGCACGCGCCCTACGTCCAGGCCCGGCAAGCCCCGCCGGCTGCCTGCCTCGCCCTCCTGCGCACGCGCAAATAAAACGCCAAGAGCGCCGGCGCGGCCCTCCAGGTGTCGCGAGAGTCGGCCCCGGACCCTGCGAGAGCTCCGCCCCCTCCCCGGGCTCAGAGTAGGATTAGAGCGGCGGGGTCGCCATGGCCGCCCGCGGGACAGCCGAGGAGCAGCAGCCTCTGCTGGGCGAGCAGGGCCCAGGGACCAGGTGAGCTGGGGGGCCCGAGGCCCGAGGACCTGGCCCAGTGGGGCGCCTTGTCTCCCGCGTTCAGCCCCTCTTACACGCGGGGAAACGGAGGCAGGGGACGCCGGGCCGCGCCGCGGTGACGGGCGTGTATGCAGCGCCCCGCCCCCCGCCGGCCCCCACCTCCGAGAGGGCAGGGCGTGGGCAGCGTGGCGCCGGACCCCGAGAGTGCCGGCCCGGGGCAGGGCGCTGCACCCTGGCTTCCTCATCTGCAGAATGGGGGCGTACTCAAGCCCCAGCGCCGTCGCAGAGAGCAAATGGGATGTTTGCAAAGCGTTTCCCAAACCGTGGAGCGCGACCTGCAGATATGTGTGCAGTTTCGTCTGTCATGTGCAACAACAGCATAAGCGTGCTGTGCTTCTCATGACGACGTAACGCGTCCTGTGCGTGGACGTGTATGAATGCAGACGCTGGCTGTCGTGGTCGTTCCGCCTCCGGCCCCCGGCGTCCTGCTGGCTCGTTGCCTTGGCCAGAACGTCTGTCCCTGTGATCCGGTGGTGTACGTTGTTCTCCCGGTTCCGCTTCCCCTCCCCTCCCCCTCCGCTCCGCCCGAGGAGTCGCAGGATTCCTTGCCTTTCCTCATTCCTGGGTTGTGCACACGCTCCTTCCCTCCATTCACATGCAGTGATCCGTTTAGCCGGGACCCTCCCCGTTCCGAGTTCTTGGCCGCCCGAAGGAGAGCTGCTGTGAATAAATGCCCTGGGTTCTTTCCTCTTTCGTTTGCGGAGGAAGGAGCTGTTAGGGAAAGCTGGTGCAAACAAATTCAGGAACCCCCGACTCCAGCCAGCTGTGAAACCCCAGGTTTCCAGGTGGAAAAAGGGGCCACGTTAGAAGATTAACACTTGGCAGTTGCTCATCTCCTTAGCGTCAACTGGCCCATCGGGAAGCACCTTGTTATTGAAATCTTAGGGATCCGAATCCCAGTTAGCACATAAAACAGCCTGATGGAAATGACAAAATGCTCTCTGCTGAAACTCTGGAGAAAAGGCCATTTCTGTGGCATTAATGATGTAATGAAAATTAGTGATGTGAGTTTCCCAGATAGCTGAAGGCTTCCCTTTGAAGCAGTATATTTAAGTTTTTTAAAACCGCTTTGCATTAGAACATTTCTAAGACTTTATCTGTTCTACAGCTTTCTTAAGTAGAAAAGTACTAACGGGTTCGCCTTTTCCCTCCCTTAATGACCCATTCTCATCCTTGATCTTTGCACTCTGCTCTACATAATGCAATTATTCCCTGGGAGCCTATTAAGACGTTTGCTCTTAAACAAAATAGCCTCAAGATTCCTGTAATATTTGAGTTGAATCTGTTTTTTTGTAATTTTTCGGTTTGCATGTTTTTCAGCTCTCGCTGCTGTCCCTATGTTTGACTGAAGGAACTTTTTACACCTGCCTGATTTTCTTAAAATCTGCTAAAGATAAGATCGATCCTCACTTCAGATCTTTATCAGTGTCATTTGAGTTTTCTGTCTCTGTGTATTACCACATATGCATGAATGTACAGTTGGATGTAATTCATTGAGCAGTGGCTCTCTGGGACACCTGCAGTGAGTGGACTGTGAACTAGGCAGAGTTGTAGAAGGAGAAAAAGCAGACGGGGGTCCATTGGAGGATTTGAACAGCACTTGGAGTGTTCCCAGGCTGTCCTCCAAACAAAACCTCATCTTCTCAATCTCCGTATTTTCCCACTTATGCTGTGTAGCCCTGATGCCTTTCATGGCACAGTTTGGGTTCTTCACAGATTGTCTTGTTTAACGAGGGCAGTGGGAGCCAGGTGATGGGCACAGATAAGACTTATATGCAAGAAGTGGCACAGAGAAAATCACCGAGGAGATTTGTGGTCAGGAAAGGAAACGGGCCCTTCATTTAATGAGAAAGGAAGCCCAGGTGTGTCAGTGATGCCCACCTAAGGTTAAAAGACCTGCAGGGGTCTCTTCTCTCCCAGCGTAGCCCTTCCTCTTAGGAGCTTTCCTTCTAATAGAGAAATGAAACACACAGCAGATCGGGGGCAGAGAAAAGGGTTCAGGGAAGTAAGGATGGAGACCGGTGCTGGGCATCTGTCTACAAGAAGCAGGACAGAAGACGTTAGAAGAGCTGCCACGAGTGATCGGAGCCACAGGGCAGGCGTTTGTCTCCCATTCCAGGAGCATGCAGCCCATTGATTTGGTCACTGTACTCCGAGAGAGAGAGAGAGAGAGAGAGAGAGAGAGAGAGAGAGAGAGAGAGAGAGAGAGAGAGAGAGAGAGAGAGAGAGAGCGAGCAAGAGCTGGGAGGGGAGGATGCTGGTTGAGCTTTGGTTTCTTAGTGACCGACTAGGTGGGCATGTGATCCTCGGAGCTGCCTAGATACACTGGGTTAGGTGGTTTTCACTCTCCACCAGTTAGGAAAGGTCTGCCCCAGGCAAAAATCCCCAAATCCATTGGATTAACTCCCCTAGTTAGGGTGGGGTGGAGGGGAGAGGAGCTTTGTCAGGCCAGGAGTGTGATCCCAGTGGGGAGCAGAGGGGAAGGAACAACCTGTATGTAGGGCTGCTTCCTACTTTGTTAAAGGACTCACCGGGGAGGCAGCTTTCTTCTGTTCCCCTCCTGCTCCCTGTCACCCTAAGGATCCATAGACAGAAATTGCAGAGGGTGAGAAGTCACGGACGGATTGTGATCTCCTGGGTTGGAACATCGTGGGGATCATAGATTAAATTTGGAAGGGACCTCAGCTGTCGTTTAGACCTGGGGCTCTTCACTTTGTGTGTGTCATGGAGCCCTTTTGGAAGTCTGGCGAAACCTCCAGGCCCTTTTTTGGAATAGTATTTTTAAATTCACAAAATACAGGGAAGGGGGACAAATATTAGTCACCTGAGATGTGCGGGGCACTGCCCTAAGCACATTACAGATACTTCGTTTGATCTTCACTACAACATGCTCTCGTTATCCCCGTTTTGCAGATGAGGAGATCTAGGCAGACAAGTGAAATGACTTGCCCTGGGTCACAAAGCTAATTAGTGTCTGAGGCCAGATTTGAATTCAGGCCCTCTGGATTCCTGCCCTAGCACTGACTGCCTAACTGCCTCTGTAAGTGAAACTCAGAGGATTGCAAAGGAAGCTAATTATATTTAAATACAGGTATAAAAATATTTTTAAAAACAAATTTAGGGACCTCACTTCAATACCCCTGATCCAGATCAACCCTCCCATAAGTATCCTGAGGCCTTGACAGGTTTAAAGGACTTGCCCAAGGTCCTGTTGGTACTAAGTGGTGTAGTTAACACTCATCTTTCAATCAACCACCATTTAATAAGCACCTACTGAATGCTAGGCGCTAGCTGCTTGGAATGCAAAGTAAAATCAAAGAGCCCCAGCCTCAAGGTGCTTAGACACACACAAAATATTTACTGAGTAAACTCAAGATGATCTAGGGGAAGAAGCACTTGGCACCCAAGGGGTCAGAAAAGGCCTTGTCTTCCAAGGTAGCACTGAAGCTGAGCTGAAAGCAGTGATGGAGATGAGGAGGACGAGCATTCTGGGCACAGGGGGAGCCTGTGATTTTCGGGGAAATGGGGGGGCAGGATGTGTGAGGAACATGAAGGAGATCAGTTTGACCTCTGGAATCAAAGGCAAACTCCTGCTTGGCTTTTCAAGCCTTTTACCACACGTCCAAGCTCCCTTTCGGGTTTCATCCGAGATGTAGTTGAGAGCCTCTTGAATTCTTGGGAGAGAGAATGGCACAGTCAGACCCGTGCTTTAGGAATTGCCCAGGCTGTGGGGAGGCTGGAGTAAAGGGGAGAGAGAGCGGTGCCTGCACCCAGGGAGAGCTTAGGAGGCTGCTGCAGTGGTCCACCCGAGACGGGGGTGAGATCCTCACTTGTAGGGGCACAGATCAAGGAGGCTTGGCTGCTGGCCAGCTGTATTTTGTTTGTCTCTCTCTGTCACCTTTATTTGAAGCTGCTTGATACTAGACCAGAGGTCACCTGAAGAGACCTGTTTCTTCTGACATCCTCTTGTTACAGAGAACTAAACAGAGACTTAAAGAGTAACCTTGAATGCGGTGACCCAGGTGGGGAGAGGAGAGCCCAGATTCAGCCCCAGGTGGTCTGACTCCAGATCTAGGGCTCCTTCACGTGGGCTGAACAGTAGATGCTCAGAGGTCACCGAGGCCATCACGTATCTGAGCAGAAATTCTGCAGTGTGCCTCCCCTCAAAGTTATCTGGTGTCTGTGTGCTTATTTTTATACAGATTGTTTCCTTTAATGGAATCTAAATTATTGTTTCATTTATTTCTTTGTATCTCTTGTGCTTGGTTTAGGGTCCAACACATAGTAGGCATTTAATAAGTAGGCTGACTTTTATAGTGTCCGCCCATTGCTTCAGACGACATCCTTGGGCTCCAAACAGAAATTCTTCTTCAGGAGCAGCTAGGTAGTGCCATGGACAGAGCCTCCGGCCTTGGAGTTCAAATGTGGCCTCGGATGCTTTATACTTACTAGCTTTGTGACCCTGAGCAAGTCACTTAACCCCATTGCCTAGCCCCCGCTCCAAAAAGAATTCTCCTTCTTCCACCCTCCTCCCATTTTCCCCTCTCAGGTTTTCTAACTTGTTTAACCACTCCACCTGCCACAATTCTGAGACTCCTCTGAAGCTTAGGTGCTCTCCTGGATTACAATTTGCATTGTGGTGTAGTAGAAGTTGGGAGACTCGGCTTTGAATCCCAGCTCAGATTTGCTCCTAAGTCAGACTTTTCTAGAGGACACCTTGCCTGGGTGATCTGGAGAGGAAGCCTCGGAGGCCCTTGAGTGGTAGAAGAGTAAGCTGATCCCAAGCTGTAGGTAGAGGGAGTTTCCTCACCAGAAGCCCCCTGTGCCCTCAGGCTTGAGAAGAGGGCTTTGTAAATTTGATCCCACCACGTAAATAGGAGATAATAATTATCCTAAAATGTGGCTCCTTGAACTACAGTCTCATGTTCCAGGTGTGGTCTAACCGGGGCGCAAGGTTAGTGAGCCTCGAATTTCCCTTGTCTTGGATAATGAGCATTGGTTGTTGTCAGCCTTGAAGCCGCTAAGACCAGCCTTCAGAGCCTGCTGCTGACACGTTCTGGCTGTGTGAGCAATCTCTCTGGGCCCTAGGCAGCTCCGTAGGACCTTACACTGCTGACTGAGATTGCTGATCTGCATGGATCTCTCGCTGCAGCCCTCATTTTTACATCAGCTGTTGCCTACATTGATGAAATCCTGGGTCCCAGAAAAGCTAGATTTAGTTTTGTTACCTGCAGTGCCACACTCCTGCTTCCCATCAAGCTCATGGTTCCCTCAGATGTTTTCCCTAGATCTTATTCACAGGGATGTCGCCCTGTATTTGTGCCTTGGGATTTTTTTTCACACGGTTACATATATAGGACATCGCTTTTTTCCATATTGAACTTTATCTTATTGGATTTCACTGATACTTTATCTTGTCAAGGTCCTTTAGAGATGTGTCTGAACTGGGCCCCAATTCAGGCAATGAATTTCCCATCTCTCCCAGTTTCGTGTTCGATAAGCATGCCACCTGTGGATTCTCCCAGGTCATTATTAAAAGTATGCTACGACTCCCAGCGAAGGAGAGATATTCATTCAAGTACTACCAAATAGAGGTGTGTAAGGATGCACAAACAAGGTGCTCCCAGTACTTCTCTGGTATCCTAGGTTATCAGGTTTTCAAAAAAGTTCAGAAAACATATCCTTAGCTGCTGTCTGAGTTTGGGCCTATGATTTCAGGGTTCCTGATGGGGAAATTCCTGCCATCAGTTCTATTTAACTACCATGTTTCAGGAGAGAATTGTGTCTGTAGCAAGTAACATTGGTATAAGAGCAGACGTTTTGCACATTCTACCTGCTGTCCTCTGAAATTGCCCTGGGGGAGCATGATCAGTCTTCCCTGGAAGCCTTTTATGCTGCCTCTGCCACACAGCCCCATTGACTCACAACTGACCCGCAGTTTCAGAGCCCAAACTGTGAATTTTCTGCCACCTGCTGGTGGTTCTTATATGTTTTAATCACTTACAATATTTAGCCCTTTCTGTGTGACAAAAAACTTTGGCGTATTAATAGTTGGAAAACATTTTCACCTTGAGGAAAGTCAAGTTTCTTTAGTCTATATGAAGACACCAATAGCATGTTACTGTTAATTATACTTGGCAACCTGATAAGTGTCAGCATTTTTTGTAACAGTTACTTTGGTAAAATATTACTGCTTTTCCAAATGTTTCCTGTTAGCAAGACAAAAAGATGTGCTGTTGTTGTTAACCTGAATTTCAAAAAGTAAGGTTTATTCCTAGAAGAATCTCTGCCTGTGGAGTTAGAATGCTTTTCCTAGGCTGGTAGACTTCGGGCCTGGAATGGGCTGTCAAGAACATCTAATCCACCCCGCCTTGGTTGACAGTCATTTCCCCATTGTTTCTCTTGTGTCTCCCCTCCTCCCCGCCTTATATACAGTTGGTTACTTTACATAAATGTCATTTTCTCATTTTTCTACATCTCTAGCCAGTGGGATGTTGTGGAAACTGAAGAGCATTATAGGAGTCGGTGGCGTTCCATTCGCATCCTATATCTCACTATGTTTCTCAGTAGCGTAGGTGAGTATTGGGGGATGGGAAGGTAGGAAATGAATCAAGTCCTGTGACCTTTCTCTAAGCTATGGCTTAGGTGGTGAATGAATTTTTTTCTGTTACCAAAATATCAGTTAGGAGTAATGCAAGTGTATAACCATAGGATTAAACATGAAAATGGAAGGGCGGTATTGGGACTGACCACTTGTAAAGTCGTGGTGGGGGTCCCCCATTGTAACCTCTTTGAGTTGTCTTGTGTAATTCTGATGCCTTCACTTGAGACTGCCTTAGAGAATCAGTGGACAAAGGATTTGCTAATCCAATGAGATAACATCTAGGAAATGCTATGCAAACCTTACCATGCTGTGTAAGTGCTAGCCCTGTCTTCTTGCTGAGCTCTGAGCTACAAAGACTAAAAGGAGATGATCTCTGACTTCCCCAGCTCACCTTCTGATGAGGAAGATAACTTCTACACACCCAAGTATAGCAGTAATAGACCATGAGTACAAGGCCCTTTGGGCAGAGAAGACTTGGGGAGGGTGGGACGCACAGAGAGTCAGGAAAGGCAAAGGCGGCTTCTGCAGAAGGTGGTGCTTGAGTCATGGAGAAAAGCAGGCTCCCCAGAGGCAGCAGTCAGGGGAGATGGGGGAGCCAGCAGCCTCAGCTCAGGGCTGCCTGTCCTTTTTTCTGTTCAGGAACAAAGAATCTCTTCTGTCTTGTTGGTCTATTCTATGTTCCAAACAGCAATGTGTGAATATTGGATTTCAGGTAAAGCTAAAAGTAAAGAGAATGCCCAATAATCCAACAAACTTATTTTTACATTAATTTTTATTGGTTTTGTATTTGTTTTTGTGCTGCCTTGGGTCTTTTCTTTTTCTGTTAGTTTGTAACTCAGACCCTTTTTAGAGATATCTGACACAGAGTCATTGGTTTTTTACAGTTACTTCTCTTCCTATCCTAGATGAGTTAATTTTCTTTATCTAGAAGCTTTTCAATTTCATATAATCAAAATGATCTCTTATCTTTTGTGACCGCTTCTATCCCCTATTTGATTAAGAGTTCATCCCCAACCCATAGCTGTGAAAAACTTACATAATCTCTTCTAATTTTTTTAATGGTGCGATCTTTAATAATTAAGGCACCTAGCCTTATTCATTGTAGAGTATGATTTAAGATGTTGATTTAAGCCTGATTTCTGTTACACTGCATTCCACAAAAATCAGCAGCGTTTCTAGCACCATGTTCCAGGTCCTGAGTTCAAATGTGGCCTCAGACCAAACGCTTGACACGTACTAGCAGTGTGACCCTGGGCAAGTCACTTAACTCTAATTGCCTAAAAACAAACAAACAAACAAAAAATAAATCATGCCGCTGGCCACGGGCATAGCTTTTGTGAGCCCCCCTTGGTCCCCTCACTGCCCTGAGAACAGAAGTTCAGTGGAGAAGGTTCATGATGATACTTCAAGTCTGTAGTGCTGTGTACTGTGTTTGAAGGAAAGTGTTGAAGCTAGAACTATAAAATGACATGCTTTTTGTTCACCTTTCACAGGCTTTTCCATTGTAATTATGTCAGTATGGCCATACCTCCAAAAGGTTTGTAAGTCTTCACTCGCTTCCTGCTATTACATGGATCATTAGAATGAGCCTGTCAGTGACTAGGAAAGATTGCCTTTTGTGTCCCTAGTGCCTTCCTCATTCAGTGCTTTGGACAGAGTTGGCACTTAATAAATGTGTTGAATTAATCAGTGTTTGTGAAATTGTATAATCACTTATGTAAGGGAAATTCAGTGGTCTTACTCCTTAAACTGTTCTAGTGCATAACATTGCTAAGATTCAGGAAGTTCATACTAATGATGTGACCTGTGTCTTTAAGTTTCTGTAATTCTTCTGATTTTGTCTATGACCTCCTGTATAGTATACTGTGTTTCTGAAGGTCACCGCTAGCTTAAACCCTCAGCCTCTATCTCAAGTTAAATTTTCCAAACTTTTCTAGGTAGGGACCATTTCCTAATCTTTTATCATTTCCATTGCTGTCTTCTCTGACCTTATCAAACTGTGCACAGGCCCAGATTGTGTATGTATGCTCTGTAGTAAGGCTTGTGGAGTGAGAAGTTTCTGTGTCCCTGACGTATCTCGCTGTAAAGCCTGCCTTGTAATCATCTGCATTTCTGATCACCTCTTCCCTGCCCGAAATTGCAGCAACTGCATTAATTCATCCAGAATTCCCTGGTCTCGTCCATTACATGTCTCTTTTCTTTAGCTGCTTATGTTGCTTGACGTTACTTTGCGCACCCTAAAAGACAAGGCTTCTTGACCATTGTTTCTTGAGTGCGCAGCACTGTGTTGAAAGGCACATGTGATTTTACTCTTGTGGCTTTTAGAGCTCCCAGAAATCAAAGGGCTCAGCATCCTCTTGTCACACAGTGACTTTTCATTTTTTTTAATATTATTTCATGATCAGAAAATAATAATAATCAGCCTTTATATAGCACTTTAAGGTTTGTAAAGCAATTTATGAACATCATCCCCTTTGCTTTCCACCCACCCTGTGAGGTAAGTATGATGGGGCTATTATCCTCATTTTATAGATGGGAAGCTCAGCCAGAAAGGGATTAAGTGATTTTCTTAGGGTCATACATCTAGTACGTGACTGAGTTGAAATTTGGACCCAGGTCTTCCTGACTCCTAAGTCTAGCTCGCTCTCTCTGCTCTGACAAGGTTTAGGTTTTAGATTTGAGGTTAAAAAAATAACTTCTTAATGGGTTGTTTTCTGTTTGCAGATTGATCCCACCGCAGATGCAAGTTTTTTGGGTTGGATTATTGCTTCTTATAGTCTTGGCCAAATGGCAGCTTCACCTATATTTGGCACATGGTCTAATTTTAGGCCAAGGAAAGAACCTCTAGTGATCTCAATCTTCATTTCAGTGGCAGCCAACTGCCTCTATGCTTACGTCCACGTACCTCCCTCCCACAATAAATACTACATGTTGGCTGCTCGTGCACTTGTGGGATTTGGAGCAGGTAATGTACTTGTTCGTATGTCTGTCTTTCTATTGGTCAAGTCTAGACTTACTTTGACATTTAAGCGTCTCCATAATTTGTCCCTGTCAGACCCATCAGACCTTCACTCCTGGGAGTCTTCAAGACAGAGTTTCTTGTCCAGCCAGGGCGGTCACCTCCCTGTTCTCTCTTTTTTTAAGTTTTAAATTTTATTTTAAACTTAAATGTAAAATAAGAAAAGAAAAAAAATTGCCATGTACACAGCAGAACATAAGAGAGGATTCAATATAAAACATTAAATTTCCATTTCAAGAAAACCTATATAGTAAATGCTACACATTGTTGTTTTAGCTGCTCAGCTTTTCTTTGCTTTCTTTTGTTCTGCTCTGCACTTTTTACTTTATTTCTGCCCTCCCCCCAAAGAAGGCTACGATGAAGCTCAGATATATGTAGATATAGATATACACACACACACATTTGTATAAACGTAGATGTCTGTAAACATGCACATATATACATTCATACACATATATGTAAGACCATACTATGCTTATTTATTTCCTCTTGTCATCTGTTTCTCTGAAGGTGGACGGCAACTTCCTTTATAAGTCCAAGTCTTTCCATGTTTTTCTAAATCAGCCACTTCATTTCCTACACCATAGCAGTATTCCAACCCAGTCACATTCTATCTGAGAGATTGTGAAGGTTTTTCCCTAATTTTCTGCAGTCCTTCTGTTTTTTTCCCTGTTCTCTCAATAGAGGATGCTCATTCCCATCTCTGGGCTTGTGCCATTCTTTCTTCTTGGATTTGTATCTCCTCTTTTTCTTCATCCTCTAAGACCCAGCTTCAGTTCTCAGCCCTTCTCCCACTTCTTGATATAATGTCTGCTGTTTTATGTGCATATCTTTTCTTCCAACTAGCTTATAAGCTTCCTGGGGATAGAGATTTTGTCTTATGCGGATTTTGTATCCCTGAGTAGCCCAGTGTTGAAGCTCATGGCAGACACTCAGTCAGTGCTCATTGGGATTATGTTTGGTTTTTTTTCCCCATTTCTTAGATTAAAGCTTCTAGAGGCAGAGGATATGTAGTAGTGACTTAGATTTGTATATTAGTGTAAGGTTTACATACTTGGGCATTTGTTGTAAAATTTGTTATAGCAGCTAGTACCTTACCATTCGTATACTGCATGCTTAGTAAATATTGGATGAACAGAAAAAGGATTGTTTGGTGTCGGTCTAATTGCTGGTCTAATTGTCAAATAATTAATCTTGTACTAAAATTCCACGCTCACATTACTGAAAGGGAATGCAGTGAAGCTCAGAGAATAATAATATTTTAAAATCTTAACCCACCTGATGCGGTAGCACTTCAGTATATGCATGGTAAGCAGTTTCTGTGGACATCAATAGGTAACATCTACTATGCCCATTACCATAACTTCTCTTTTTATAGAATGCTCAGTTAAAATGAATATTGTCAAGTGGAAGATACTTTCTTTTCATTTGGAGTCTTATTTTTTCTTTCTTTTCTTTTTTAAAGGAAATGCAGCAATAGTTAGATCTTATATTGCTGGTGCTACTTCCTTGCAAGAAAGAACCGGTGCCATGGCGAACACCAGCGCTTCCCAGGCCTTGGGCTTTATCCTGGGTCCAGGTAGGTGTCAGTTCGGTATTTGGAGGGAGGAGAAGCAACAAAGTCTTTGTCTGACGTTAAGTTAGGATGACCGCCACCTCTGTCAGTTGTGTTAAATGAAATCCAGTGGCTGACTGACAAGAAATTAAATTTTTTTTAATGTATCATCTAAAGAAAAACCATTCAGCATCCTAACCCTTCACATTTTCTATTATTTTTACACATTCATTAGGAACTTAATGCCCCAATTGTATATGATTAGCCATTACCTGCTTTCTTTTTTGACCCTGCTTTCTTACCACTTTGGGAGGTGCCTGTGTTCTTGTTTCCTGCCATGTATCTTATTTGTTAGAGTCAAATCAGAATACAAAATCAGCTTCTTCGTTTTGACCCTGTCCCTGTCTAGTGTGCATGAGTCATCCAGTAGCATCTTTTTTACTGTGCTAAGTTTTTCAGACATGTTTTGCTCTGATTGGAGAAAAGGGCGTGACGTGGCCAGCCATTGACCTGCAGGTGAACATGTACACGGCCCCCGTTCTACTCGGCGCACTTTTGGGAGTTGTCAATATTGTCTTGATCTTTGCTATGTTAAGGTAATTGAGTAGATATCCTCATGTTGGTGATTGTGTGTGGGGTGCTTTGCCACTGCTGATGGGACGTGTTCTCGTGTGGCTTTCAGCTCCACCTTGTCCACGTTCTTTTCTTCTCCTTCATCTAGCACACACGCGGCTTGTTGCATCTCCCGTTTGTCGGGCGCTTTACACACATTGTCTCATTTGCTTCTCAGGACAGCGCTGGGAGGTGAGGCAGGTAGTGTTTGCCGCAGTAGAAGGTGAGCTCGGCTTGGAATTGAGACTTGGGTTCCAGGGCTGCTTCAGGCTTGTGTTGGGTCACGTTAGTTCTCAGCCTCATTTTCTTGATCTGTATAATCCATACGTGCCTTGTAGCGTCATTGCAAGGAAAGTACTCCCCATGCTACTATAGAAGTGTGAGTTGTTATTGTTAATAGCTGCCAATCTATAGTGGGAAAAGGAAGGTTCTGAAAGACCCTTAGTGCCACAGCTGGCGTGACACCAGTGTTCTTTGTTCTGTGCTGGGCCAGGGGTCCGGAGGGAAGCGGCTCAGACGTAGGCCTCACAGCTTCTCCGGGAGCGAGGCAGTCGCTAGATAGGAGGGGCTCCGTGAACCGAGTGCTCCAGCCTGGGAGAGGGCTCAAAGACCCTCATCTTCCTCTGCCCCTGCTCCCCGTGGTCCTGGCTCTGCCGCCGGGGCCGGGCGGCAGAGCTGTCATAATCCGGTTCCTAAATCTCATCCACAAGTGACAGAGATTGAGATGCTTTACTGTCCTGGTCACCCTACCTTGAATAGTCTCCTGCTTGTCTGTGTTTTTCCTAAAATATGGCACCCAGAGCCAGACACAATACCCTGTGTCTGACTGCGGCAGAGGATGGCATGACTCTCGTCTCCCTGTTCCTGGACACTGGCTTTCTCAAGGCAGCATCAGATATATGACCTTTTAGCTATCATTGCTTGCAGTGTACTAAGACCTCCAGGTCTTTTTCAGATGAAGTGCTCCTCTATCCTGGAGTTGGAAAGATGATTCTTAAATTTCTTTTTAAATTTGGAACATAAAAAAGGATTATTTCCATGTATACAGCAGAACACTCACAAAAGGAGTTGTACACAAAACCATATATCTATTTCATACTGCTTGCTTTTTCTTTTTAAGCATCTAGGTAAATCCCACACGTTAATTCATTTCATAACCATCCTACTTATCTGTATTTCCTTCTGAACTCTGTTCTCTTCTGTGCATTTTTACAAACAAAATGGACATTTTTGATCTCTACTTTAAAACTATTTTTCCCCCATCAAATTGCATCTTTTTAGATTTGACCCAGCCTTCTCACCTCTCAGGATCTTTTTGACTCCTGATGCTAATGTCTAGGATGGACGGTTCTCTTCCTTCTTTGTTACGTCATTTGCAAATCTAATAGGTATACCATCTCTGCCTTGAGCTAATTTATTGATTAAAAATATTAGATAACTGAAGCCAAGGACAGGCCCCTTCAATGCTCAGCAGAGTTAATGATTCATCCCTTCAGCCCGTTCCAGACACATTAATCATCTGCCTTAACACTTACGCGTTTAAAGATTACGCAACAGGTGATTGCTTAAACTTGGGTAGCATATGCCTTCGGCATTCCTGTGATCTGTCGGGAAGCATGAGAGTGTAGTCTGGCCTGATGTCCCCATCATGAAGCCCCACTCACTCAGTTCCTTTGGTTGCCATGTAGAATTTTGCCAAGAATCAAAGTCAAGCTTGTAGTGTTTGCGCTTGCCTGCTTTGAAATTTGAGACTTTGCTTTTCCTTTGCTCTGCCGTAATAATAATAATTCTGTTCTCTTTTGAGAATTCCCTATGTCCACGGTCACATCAGCTCTGTTCTGCGCTGGGCAAGTTCAGTTCTTTGAAGGTAGCTGGGTGCTCTCACTATCTCCCTACTCATCTTTTGTGTCAGTCCTGTGTTTGCTATTTTTGTCCTTTTTAGTCCAGTGATCATCATCCTTAGCAGAGTTAACAGAGAGAATGGGTTGAATAATTCTGCTTTTTCTCCGTCATTCCTTATGATTGTCCCATCCAGCCTAAGTGTTATTCCTGTCTCTTCTTTTATCCTCTCATTTTCCCCCAGAGTAGATTCCTTGAGGGTAACTAGGTGACACATTGGGCCTGAAGTCAGGAAGACTCCTCTTCTTGAATTCAAATCCAGCCTCAGTCAGTTACTAGCTGTATGACCCTGGGCAAGTCACTTAACCCTGTTTGCCTCAGTTTCCTCATTTGTAAAATGACCTGGAGAAGGAAGTGGCAAAACCACTCCAGTATCTTTGCCAAGAAAACCCCAGATGGGTCAAAAAGAGTTGGACACGACTGAAATGATTGGATAGCAACTAGGTTTCTCAAAATAACAAACTCTTAACACTTAGCACAAAGTAACAGTCTTAGCCCTCATTAGCCTCAGCTTATTCTGAGTTTTGGCAGATCTGACATCACTCTTACAGGACAATGACCTGTTTTTATATTTGACCTTTTATTTATACTTTCTTCCATGTCCTCTATAGATCCTTTAAAAATCTAAACTGGTCAGTGAGGGTGCTGTGCATGACATGGAAAATAGTTATCTTTATTTGATATTTATTCACGGATTCTAAAATCATTTATAGTCTACTTTAAAAGACAACAGACAACTCAGAAGATAATTCTGTTATGTGAATTGAATGTGCTAGGGCTCTTAACCTGGGATCCATAAACTTTTTTTTAATAACTACATTTCAGTATAGTTTCCTTTATAATCTCTATGTATTTTATTCAATGCATTTTAAAAGATTATTTTCTTTTTTTTGTTTGTCTTTTTGCTAGGCAGTGGGGTTAAGTGACGATCACGGCTAGTGATTGTTATGTGTCTGAGGCCAGATTTGAACTCGGGTCCTCCTGACTCCAGGGCTGGTGCTCTATCCACTACCCCACCTGACTGCTCCCAAAAGATTATTTTCACTTGAGTTTTATAGGCTTACCTAGCCTGACAAAGGGATCCATGAGATAGAAAAGGTTAAGAACCCCTGCAATGTGCTTTTATTTTATAGTGGGGAAAACATGATGTTGAATGGAAATCAGATTTGTAAGTTATCAGTCATTAACCTTTCATTGACTGGATCTAATTGGTAGTGGTTTACAAATGATTACATCCATTGTCTCTGCGCACCCACAAGGAACTTGGGCCATTTCCCCAGCAAAGTGTTTATATTGTCATGGTATTCTTTAGGAAATAAACTGTTTTCGGTATTACTTACATTTCCTGCACGGATGAAATAATAGGTTAGGATTGTCAAGAAATTTATATGAGCTGCACCAAGAAATGAGTGTTAAGATAATTGTGCTGTGCAGTAACACACTTCATTTTTTTATTTTCAAGGGAACATCGGGTGGATGACTCTGGAAGACAGTATAAAAGCGTTAATTTTGACGAAGGTACTGTTGGATTTATTTAAGAGTTTGTTGAATTGCAGTTAGTTAGTGTTGCTAATGACCTTTGGCTGTCTGGCACTCATCTAGATCGTACTTCTAATTAAAACACGTTGGATCCCTGGGACCACCCTTTGGGACGCTGATGAGGAAGAGGTTGTGGTCAGTGGTGCCCCGGGCTGTGGAAACTCACTGCTGTTCCCCAGTGAAAAGGGCCATGCAGCCGGGTTGGCCCTCTTCCTCAAGTCCCGTCTCCCTTTAAAGCTCAGGGCAGGTACCACCTCCTACAGGCAACCCTCCTGGTGTTCCTCCACCAGCTCCTGCTGTCATTCCTGAAATTTCTTTATGTTCTGTGTGCTTTTCTATTTTCTGATTTGTGTATGTGTTGTTTTCCTTGATTCACCTGTTAGCTCCTTGCAGCAGTAGTGCTTTCATTCTGTCTTTGTCAGATCGACTGATGGATTGATTTGCCCACGTCCACTAGCCCTGTTCTCACAGAGCGAGTTATCCTGACTGGCATCAAAAAAGTGCTCAGGACAGCTTCGTTGGTATTCTTTTCATGCCACCATGCTTCAGGCAGTCGGTCCTTTGCTTTTTAAACACAAGATAGGCTTGTCCAGTCCTTTGCATTCTCGCCATCTAGTGTACACTAGGTCCCTTAGGGCACATACAAGTGTAAGGTATAAATTCTGTCCTCAGGGCAAATGCCACTGGATTTGGAGTACGGTAGTTGGGGTCAAAACCCAGCTTTGCCACTTGCTACCCGAGTGTGTGACCTTGAGCTGGTCACTATCTCTAGGCTTTACTTTTCCTCATCTCTGAAATAACTTGATGATCTTTAAGGGCTCTTCCTCCTCAGTCTGTAATGTTGAAACAAGACTTCTCTGCTAAAATAGGAAATGTTACCATTTTACAAAGTGCAAAACTTAATATAACTAGGGACCCAGGTGCCCGATATAGGTAAGCTATGGGAGGGGAGAAATCGATGTTGATTGGAATCATTGGAGCAGGCAGAGAAAGGATGGCCTGGAAATAGGCCTCGGAAGTGAGGAGGATGAGAAAGAGGTGGGAAGGTGCTTGATGTCCAGTGTAAGTCCCGCTGGCATAGGGCAGGCAAGGGGACCCAGGAGATCAGACTTTGTATTTTAGGAAGGTCATCTTGGCACCTGTGCAGAGGATGGATTAGTGAAGGGAGAGAAGCCAAAATGAAGAAACTTAATGAAGCTGTCAGGAGTCAGATGAGAGTAATCAGGGGAGAGGGTAGCACGTGAGGGGAAAGAAGTTTGGATATTCAGCACAAAGGATTGTGTGAGGCTAGGACAGCTTTTAGGAAAAAGTGCTAAGGAGGATCAGTAGAACAAACAACCTTTCCAAGCAAAATATTTTTGAAGGCTTCGGGGTTAAGTTCCTTCTCAGTGTGGTTTCAGTTGAGACTCACTGAGGAAATTATAAACTAGTTTTTTTCCTTTTATCTTTCATGACAGTAAACATAAAAAATTCTCTGTTTTAGAATATATTAATTTTTAAAATCCCAGACTTATGCAGGCTTGATTCATGAATTTTAAAACCATTTAGGTATTTTATTTTAATGTTAGTTATAGTTGTCATACATCATCATAAAAAAATTCCCCAAAGATCAATGGTTAACCTGCTAAAATGTTTGCACATACACCCCCACCCCTGGTCATCTTCAGGTGTAGTGTCTGCATCAAACAACTGAATCATCATTCAGTTTTATTATTTTTTTTTGCAAAGTTAATCTGAAAAGTATCGAAGCAAATTACTGCCTTATTAAAAACATAGTATAGTGCATATCCTCTGAAAAAAGAATCACAAAGAATGTAGTAAAGTTTCATCAATTAGCAAGAATTATTTTTTTAAAAATGAAAACTGGATTAAATTATGTCTTCTTGTAGAGTTTTGACTGATTTTGATTTAAATCAGAACTATCCTACCTACTTTTCACTTTCAGAATTGATTCAGTCTTTTGATTTCTAAAGTCACTTATCAACCCGTAATGGGGGGAGGGGGATCACACTAGGTAGAGTCAGACAATTAAATTGTAGGCTCCAGGTAGGCTAAGGACAGCATCCTTTATTTTTGACTCGGTGGATTGCTTAGTGAGCATTTATTGAATGAAAAATTTTAAATGTGCTGGTACAAAAATATTTCTTTTCCATTTTTTTTTGCTCATTCTTCTAAGAATGAAGGGGGGGGACCTTCCCTTGTTCCCCCTTTTGTCTTTTCCCACAACCTCTTTAATAATAATGATAGCTGGCATTTACATTGCACTTTGTTGTTTTATTTGATTAATACTAGCCTGGTATAAAATTATTAGTTATTAGGAACAAGTTGTTCTCAATTACACACACTGAGTAGCTCAGTCATGAAGAGAAAATGTGGCCGTGGCCAATAGGACAGCTCCACACAGTTGCTCTCCCCTTTTTACTTTAAAAAAAAAAAACCACCTTCAAACTTAAAAAAATTGTTTTAACAATGTACATCTCTCAGTGTTTTGTATATCTTGGTGACCCTGGAGTTTGAAAGACTGCAGTAGAGCCAAAGCTATCAGGTGTTTGAGTTGGGCCCCAGCGCCAGATTCTGTGTCAGCCAAGTATTGGCCTGGCCAAGCTGGAGGGCTTCATGACCAGGCTGGCTGCAAGGCCAGGACATTTTAGGCCACATCAGGTCAAAGACGGGTTGCAGTCTCCGTTGCTGGAGCATTACCCCCATTTCAGGAATCACAGATCTTTCAAGTATTCATGGAAGTGTGGATATTAGTTTTGTAGGTATTATTGAATTTTAAAGTAAATTTAGTGAAGTTAATGACAGGGAATTTCCTTAATCATTATAGTCTTCATAAAGTCCTTGAGTTCTGATCTTTAATAGCTTAAGGATTTATGTGTGATGATAACATTTAAAAGCTTAAAAAGCATGGCTTACAATGACCTTTTCAAAATCAAGATACTTAGAGATGGAATTTGATAGGGGTTTTCTGTTTATTGTGTCCCTGATAAAGTGGTGTATATAGATAAAGTTACAAAATATGGGAACTGTGGATAACTGAGTTATTCTTGTATTTCTGTGCAGCAAGCACGGATGTAGTTCACGATTCCCAGGAAAGCATTGATCAAGTTGCTGTTGTCACCACCAACATTCTTTTCTTCATCATCCTGTTTATCTTTGCTCTTTTTGAAACGTGAGTTTTATTATTTCTATATCATATTACCTGAATTATCCCGTTTTGTTTATTAGAAGTATGTAAATGGGCCTGCATACCCTTTAAAAGACAGTTTTCTCTGATTATGGAGCGGAAAAAAAAAATACAGGCACTGCAGATTGTGGTATTCAGTAAACAAACACATTTAGGAGAGCAGGGGAACCTGCCATAGTAGTATCTTCTTTATTCGTTCTTTTCTCAATATTTAATACTTGGATAATAAGCATTGAAGTTAATGTCCTGTAGTTTAATGCTGCAGCTTGTAGGGCAAGGCTATTAGCTTTAATATAATTGTGCTCCATATATTCAAAGAATAATTTTCCAGCACTACCACAACCATCTGGGACACCATTGAAACTGGGAAAGGACATTTGGATCTCCCAAAATGGCTTCCACAGAGGATGCTATTCTAATCTACATGGCTTTTTTTGAAGTCTTGTAGTGATTGTATAGAAATATCAATAGCGTTATGTTCCCTGTCACCTTAATATTGCCTTCCTCTAGGTGGAAAGGCAGAGGGTTGCAGGGAGTATTTTCAAGATAGGCATTTTGTCACATGGCAAACTTCATTAAACATATTGTCTTTCCCTCCAATACCCTAACCACTCAGTTCCTCAGCCTACTCACCTCCCATGGGCTACTCCTCCACCCCAGCCACAGCCAAAGACAGTCATACCCTTGATCTTGGTATCATCCACAGATGTACCACCTCCATGTTCAAGAATTCTGAAATCTAGGGCAGCTAGGTGGATAGAGCTCCAGCCTTGGAGTTGGGAGGACCCGAGTTCAAATCTGGCCTCAGACACTTGACACTTACTAGCTGAGTGACCCTGGGCAAGTCATTTAACCCTGATTGCCTCAGCAAAAAGCAAAAAAAAAAAATTCTGAAATCTTATTGACCATAATTGCTTGGCTTTCCACCTTTCTCTGTGCCTTCTGTTACCAAACCCTACTTTTCGTATGCACCTTGACCTCTAGTCCCTTGACCCCTCACTACTCTCACAGGCCACCTCCCTTGCACTAGACACTGTTTTCCTTGTCTTGACTCCTTAGAGAACCAATTCAATTCTGCCCTGGCCTCCTCTCTTGAATTCCTTGCCCCTTCAACATATCGTCAGCTGTGCCCATCCAGGCCTCATCCTTGACCATTCATCACCTTCTCTCCTACACATGTGCTGCTGAGCAAAGGTGGAGAAAATCACCCAGCCGTTTGGACTGGCTGCACTGCATATTTATGTTGCCCAACCTCCCTTGGGCTCTCACTGCGGCTGGGCAGTCCTACCACACCTTTTCATCGCTCCTCAGATCTTCAGTGGCTCTCCCTCTTCTCTTCTCCCTCTCTCAGCTGAGAATCTTGCCTCATAATGTACAGAAAAAACAAGGATGTGCCTCCTTTGTTCATGTCTCACCTGATGAGTGACCTTAGAGCTTGCCAAGATGAATCCCTCATTCAATTCCCTTATTCTATCCTGTCTCCTCTGTCATCCCACTTTCTCACTCATTTTCAGTCTCTCCCTCTTTACAGGCTCTTTCTCTGCTGCCGGCAAACGTGCCCTTTTCTCCCCTATCCTGAGTAAACCCTCTAGATCCTTCTATCCCCTTTAAATGTTGTCCTTTATCTCTCCTGCCCTTTGTAGCGAAGCTCAGAAAGGCTGTCACAACAGGTGCCTCTTCTTTCCTTCCTGTCTCTTCCCTTCTTTTCCCTCTCTTCTCAGCCCCTTACAGCCTGACTTCTGGCCTTATCACTCCACCCAGACTGCTCTCTGCAGGTGCCTGTGATCCCTCTGTTGCCAGATGCAGCGGCCTTTTCTCGGTCCTCATTCTCCTTAGGCTCTCTGCGGGCTTTGGCACTGTTGAGCACCTGCTCCTCGTGGGTGCTCTCTTCTCTCCTGGTTCTCCTCCTCTGTCTCCTGTGCTGGGTCATCCTCCAGATCACCCCCTCTAACTGTTGTGTCGCCCATAGCTCCGTCCTGGTTCATCTTCTCTTCTCCCTCAGCCCCCGTGGATTGAACTGCAGTCTCTAATGCTGATGATTTCCAGCTCTGCCGATGCTGCCCCGACCTCTCTGCCTACCTCCAACGAGATGTTCAGGAGGTGTCTCTAACTCACCATGTCCAGAATGGAACTCATTATCTTTCCCCATTAAACTTGACTACCACCACCTTCCCTGTTACTGTAGAGGACAGCACCATCCTCCCAGTCCCTCCGGCTGTCTCAATCTCGAGGCCTGTCGTTTTCACCTCTGCATTATCTCCTGAACCCGTCCCCTTTCCTCCTGTTTCGCCGCGCCCGCCCTGGTGCAGGCCCCGTCACCTCATGCCTGGACTGTTGCAGTAGCTGCTAAGGGTCTGCCTGTCTCAAGTCTCTCTGCTGCACTCCAGCCTCCATTCAGCCACCAAAGTGATTTTCCTAAAGCACAGGCCCCGTCATGTCACCCCCCCCCAATTCAGTCGACTCTGGTGACTTCCTCTTGCCTCCAAGATCAAGTACAAAATGTTGGCATTGGGGGCTCTTCAGAACCTGCCCCCTCCTGCCTTTCCAGTCTTACGTCTTATTCACCCAGACATCCTCCTCAGTCCAGTGACAGAGACCTCGGGGCTGCTCTGTGAACGTGACGCTCCATCTGTTGGCCCCGGGCATTCTCTCCGGCTGTCCTCAGTGCCTGGAATACCATTCTGGCTTCCTTTTGGTCCCAACTCAAATCCCACCTTCCCTAACCCCTCCTAACTCTAGTTCTTTCCCTCCGTTAATTCTTTCCTGTTCATTCTGCTCACGGTTTTCCGTGTGCATATTTGTTTGCACGTTGTCTCTCCCATTAGATGGGGCTGCTTGAGGACAAGGACTGTATTGTGCCTTTTTTTGTATCCACAGCACTTGGCTTTGTACCGGACACATAGTAGTTCCTTAATAACAGTTCATTGAGGGGCAGCTAGGTGGCGCAGTGGATTGAGCTCCTGCCTTGGAGTCAGGAGGACCTGAGTTCAAATGTGGCCTCAGACACTTACTAGCTGTGTGACCCTGGGCAAGTCATTTAACCCCATTGCCTAGCCAAAAAGCAAAACAAAAAAACCCAAAAAAACCCAAACAGTTTATTGATTGATTTTTCTTAACTGTCTTAAGAGGGAGGGTTCCATGAGATGAAGTGTTTATTGGGAGGTGCCTGGTATAAGTATCAAAAAGCTATCAATTAAGAAGTGGGGAAAAGTGTTTAATCAATTTGGATAGTTTTCCATAGATAATTGTTCACTTAAAGGCCTTTCAGCTTCTGTTATGTGAAATATTCACCTGTGAAGAATTATTCCTCAGAAGTGCCAGAGGGTATGAGCTGGCAGTTTTCAGAAGAAGAAATCAAAGCTATCTGTAGTCGTATGAAAACATGCCCTTGAGGACCCTCTCATGTAGGGGAAGGGAAACCAGCCTATAAACCAACTGAATTCCCTTTGGGACAGAGGTCTGGGAGGTCTGACACACCGGATTTTCAGACTGAGATGGAAAACTAGATTTCTGTGCCATATTATGTCCAGCTAAAGAAAAAGTAAGAAGGAGAAAAAATGAGAAGAGGGAGAAGGTGGAAGGGGAGAGAAGAAGAAACCAACAATCTCCATGGGTTCTGAGGCAAAACGATTTTCAGAATTTTTTTTATTAATTTATTTTGATTTATCAACAATTACTTCCATAAGCTTTTGAGTTTTGAGTTTTTCTTCCCCTTCCTCCTGAGGCAAAATGAGTTAATAACAGTGGTGTTGTGTCGAGCTCTGAAGCAATAGAAAATCCATGCTGATGCTGCTGGATGTGTAAGGGGGAGAGAGGACAGTGCAGAAGCACGAGGGGTCTTGTTAAAACTATGTTGCCGCTTTAGAGAGTAGAAATTATCCACATGCACACTTCCTAGGTCACAGTTTGGCACAAAATTAGCTGTTTTCACTAATGTTTGGTATTTGAAGTATTTTCTCTACTTGCTCTAATTTTGTGGTCCTCGTTTCTAGCATTGCTACTCCACTGACAATGGATATGTATGCCTGGACCAGGGAGCAAGCTGTGTTATACAATGGAATCATACTTGCTGCTCTGGGAGTGGAAGCAGTCATCGTTTTCATGGGAATCAAAGTACTTTCCAAAAAGTAAGTCATCATGTTTTTGTGTTTTGTTTCCAGTCTAGCCATTAAAATAAAAATACAAAACAATGATTAGAATCATCAAAGTGTTGCCAGAGTATTTCGTGTATATTATTTATACCTCTTTATATAAGTTAGTTCTTTAAATGTTACAATACATTTATTTCTGTGAAATAAGATAATATTTTAAATGTTAGCTGAAAATTTATAGAAATCCTGTATCAGAACCCTTTTGTAAAACAATTACCTCATTTTTCTGATGTCTAAATGTAGATCATCAGATATGCATTTGTTTAAACTGTACACCTGTATAGTTTGAGGGAGCACCAGCATAAATTGTTGGTAATGTGACAGTTTATATTTTTAAAAAAAGAGGGAAAAGTTAATTGATTTTTAGATATTGTATTATATAAGTAATTGGAGAACTGTTTGAGACCTTCCACATGGCCTTGATCTCTAGGTATTTAAAGGTTATTTGAAAAGGAAATAATTCTCACATTAATGCAATAATGTGATATATTATAAAGTGGTATATAATTAATTGTTAAATGTGTGTATAGCTAAGTGCTAAATGTGTGCACCAAACAGGTAAGTGCCATGAGTTCAGAGAAGGTGGACTGGGCTGATCACAGAACGTTTCGTGAAGAAGATGAAGATGGACCAGGCCCTGAACAGGCCAGTGGTCCCCCAAGCTGGGCACCTGCCCACCCAGAGAAGGCCATTCAGAGCGGGGCAAGATGAGTGCGTGCAGTGGCCAGTGGGGCCCATCTCCAGCCCAGAGTCTGGGTCCTCCTTTCCCCATTAGTGCCCAGCGCTGTCCGTGGGCTAATCTTCCATGGCTGTGCAAGCTGCCAGCCTCCCCTTTGCTTCACCCCAGCGCCTGAACTAGAAGCCATACGAGCAGAATCCCCCCCCCCCCAGCCTTCTCGTGCCCACATCCCCACGAGTCTGCCGCAGGGGTGCCGCTCTGTGGGTTCTCTCTACTCTGGAGCATCCCCCCACCCCCACCCCCTTTTGGTTTTTAATGAAAAAGGAGTCACATGTGAGTTGAAATCTGCATTGCAGATGTTTTTGCATTGCCTCGCGATCAAATGAGATATTTCCGAAGCACTTAGCAGGAGGCCTGGCACATTGTAGGCACCTGATAGATGCGTATTCCCTTCCCTAAGCCCCTCTTCCACACTTCCTTACTTCTTGCCACATCTCGTCTTTTGTCCCTCCACGGCGTGTCTCACATCTCTTCCCTTTCTGCTCAGGCACCACCGCTGCCAGCCTAGCTCGGGTCCTCGTTACCTCTCCCCTGCACATCTCCCCAACCTTCCACTGGGCCTCCCTGCCCCATCTCTCCCTGCTGCAGTCTGTCCTTCACTCAGCTGCCAGAGTGATTTTCCTCAAGGGCAGATCAGACCACATCACTCCCCTGCTCAGCAAATTTCAGTGACTCCCTATTGACTTCAGGATCAAACATTTTTCACATTTATTTCATCCTTAAAAATCTTTTCTACAACTCTTATAACATGCATAATTATTACTAGTACGTCTGTATAATTTACATGTAGCTAAGTATCACATATTCAGGATGTATGCTCAAAAACTTGTTGTTGGTAGGGTAAGAGTATGTGAGCCAGAGAGTCTGGAGGTCATTAGTCTAGGCAGCAGTGGAGATGGAGGGTGTTCTAACAGGAGGAGGGGCGTGAGCAGGTGGGGAATCTGCCGGGCATGAGCAAGGGTGGACCAGAGGGCAGAATGGCAAGCCACAGGTTCTGCTGTAAGTATATTGGTTTTGAGCTAGTGATGGGACCTCCAACGGTAGACCTGCAGTGGTCAGTCACCCTGAGGGACCCAGATGTCCTGGACCATCAGTTAGATTAAATCGTGCTCAACCCATTTCACTTACCAGTGCAGAAGAGTACATGGATTCATTCTGGGAAAGATTCTCAGGCATCTAAGCTGAAACAAAAAGGAGTTTCCTGGGAATTATCTTAATTCCTCACTCTCTCGTCCCTCACACGTCCCTCACACATCACCCCACACCTTCTTTCAGTTTTCCCTTGGAGTCCTTTCAACGTCTCGTGCCTACCCACTGCCACAATCCTAGCTCCCACCCTTCTCACCCTATGCCTGGGTGACATTTTTTTTTCTTTTTTGTGAGGCAATTGGGATTAAGTGACTTGACCAGGGTCACACAGTAGTAAGTGTCAAGTGTCTGGTCTGAGGCCGGATTTGAATTCAGATCTTCCAGACTCCAGGCCCAGTGCTCTGTTCACTGCACCACCTAGCTACTCCTGCCTTCATCTCCTCCCTCCCAACCCATCTCGGAGTCACCTGCATGGAGAGAATTCAGTCTGTGGAAGCTGAGAGTGTGGAGGAGGGGAGAGGGAGGGAAAGAGCTGGAGGAGGAGGGAGGGGAAGAGGGGAGGAGAAGGAGGGAGGGAGGGGAAGAAGTAGAGGGGATGGGGGAGGGGAAGAGGTAGAGGAGGAGGGAGGGGAGGAGGTGGAGGAGGGAGGGGAAGAGGTGGGGAGAATGAGGGAGGGAGGGGAGAGGTGGAGGGGATGGGGGGGTGGTCTGTAACTTGGAACAGAGCAGTTTCAGCTGAGCTGAGTCTAGAGTAAGGTGGTCAAGTTACCTGGATTCTGTCATCGTTCATGCAAATATGAAAGTTCAGAAGGAGAGGAGTGAGTTTGGGGGGGGAGCAATATAATGTCAGCTGGTGAGCACATGTTCATTCTGTCCTACTCACTCTTCCCCACCAAAAAGTGAATAATGTGTGTGTGTGTGTGTGTGTGTGTGTGTGTGTGTTGAGAGGGGGGATGGTTGCTGCCCCTAAGCACGGTGATCCCCAGGGTAAGCTGTGGTGACTTGGAGGGAAAAGTGGGAATGGAAATGTGTGTGGTTGCTTCTGGGCCTGGTTGCAGTTGCCTTCAATCTCTTCTGCCCGAGGGGCCTTCCGCTGATTCATCTGGAAAAGCCAGCCAGTGGTAGGGGAGAAGGCCGGGTGGTGCTGGTACATTGGTGTTAGCATCAAGTCTGTGACTTGATAGGGCGCCACCCGTCTTCCCACTCTTCCATCAGTCAGTCCCTCATCACTTGGGGTCCGACCAAGGCCGCTTCGCATCATTTCTCAGCCCCTATTCTACAAAGAGAACGCTGGCCTAGATGATAAAAACAGCCAAAAACTTGGGTAGCCCAAACCTCACTCTTTTCTGTTAAATGGTATTTTTACTGTGAATTACCAAAGTTATTTAACTTTAAATTAACGAGTGTCTATTTTTTCCTAGAACTGGAGAGCGTGTGCTTCTGCTCGGAGGACTTCTGATCATTTTATTCGGATTCTTTATCTTGTTACCTTGGGGAAATCAGTTTCCAAAAATCCAGTGGGAAGGTATTCTCTTGATTATAAAAACTTGTTTTTATCTACTTAAGCTACTTTTGTTTTAAAATAATGTGCTGTGCTTACTTTTTAGATTTGCATAATACTTCCATTTCTAATAAATCATTGGGAGAAAGAGTTCTCTATTTTTGGAAGTCATCAGCAGGAAATTCCAGTGAAGCCCCGACTGGCTGCCCAATCGAGCAGTCCTGGTGTCTCCATACTCCAGTGATTCACCTGGCCCAGTTCCTCGTTGCTGCTGTATTGATAGGAATGGGTTATCCAGCCTGCAATGTTATGTCCTATACCTTATACTCAAAAATTTTGGGACCAAAACCTCAGGTAAGAGAATTACAGAGGGGCTACCATTAAGGTCTTTTAAAACTTACAGTTTTTGCTCCCTTATTTCAAATGGTCTGATTTGCAAGTTTTTGGATTATTTGATATTTTAAATCAAGAGAGTAAACTTTTGTAAAAGTTTATCTTATGCTGAGGTTTTCCACAATGTTCCTGGAAACTCTCCAAGGTCACAATCTAGTTTCCCTGGCAAGAATGGTGGAGCAGAAGCAGCCCGTCCAAAGGCCTTTCTTCAGAGTTGATCAGGAAGGGGGCTGTGGATCCTAGTTGCCTGACAACGGACCTGTGTCTGCACAGCCTGGCCTCGAAAGTTTGTAGGAACAATACTTCGAAGGGCCTTCAGGTGGGAATGCTTCTCCAGGAGTCAGCATTTTTCTTCGTAAATTGAGACATGGTAGTTTTCATGTAGGAAAGCGTGATGGTTATGTGCTTTTCTCCTGTGAAATGAAAAGACAGTATTTGAACAATAGGCTAGGTTTTAGACTTTAAGGTAAAGCCAAGGTAGCATTTCATAACAAATTTTGGCAGTATTTATCCTCTTAAAAAAGAAGAGTCTAGAAGGTTATGCACATCTTAAAGAGCAATGTTGGTACAAACTCTGAGGCATGTCACACATGCTCAACAACGTCTTGGAGGCTGGGGTTCCACATCTGTTCTTCAATCGTGTCCCACTCTCCATGACCCCATTGGGGGGTTTTTGGCATAGACACTGGAGTAGTTTGCCATTTCCCTCTCCAGCTCACTTCACAGATGAGGAAACTGAGGCAAACGGGGCTAAGTGACATGCCCAGAGTCATACAGCTGGGAAGTGTGAAGCTGGATTTGAATCCAGGAAGATGAGTTTTTCTGTCATCTGTCATTTTTGCATGAATTCAGATAAAATATGAATAGTAAATATTATTTATATGAACATTATTAATGACTTACCAAGCTGCAGTAATATTGCTGAGCTAAATCTAAAGCTAGTCTTTCATGCCGATGTAAACCTGAAGCATCTCTGTAAACTGTGTTAAACTGTCGAAGGCAGAAAAAAGAAAATGATGGCGGGGAGGAACATGTTGACTTAATGGAGAAGATCTGGTGAGGAGGAGGAGGGAGTACTTGACCCTCAGTTGAGCCTTATGCTGCTGAGAATCTTTGCCTGTGTTTTGTTAACAAAAACTAAACCCTGTGTTCAACCTCTCTCTTCTCTTTAGGGCATCTACATGGGCTGGTTAACGGCTTCTGGAAGCTTAGCCAGGATTCTTGGACCGGTGTTTGTCAGCCAAACATACACTTACCTGGGGCCCCGATGGTCATTTAGCTTAGTCTGCGGAATGGTTGTGTTAACGATCGTGCTTTTGGGAGCAGTTTATAAGAGACTTATTGCTTTTTCTATACGGCATGGCAGGGTCCGAGAGTAAGCTTAGGAGAATTAAGTAGAAGAGGTGAAGAGTGATGTGATTGATGGGACTTTGTTTCAAGATTGCTGGGAGCCTGGAGCTTCGTTTCCAGAAAGCCGGGTGCTTTTGCAGAGGCTCAGCCGATTGTCTGTGTCTTGGGATGGGTGTTAAGCACAGGCCAAATTCCACCCTGTTGCTTGGTACCAGAGGGCAAGTTAATCATTTTTAGATTCTAACTTCCTCTTATACAAGGCGAAACAAAGGTTTTACAGCACCTGAGCTAATGAGCAATATATAAATGCACAGCAACATTCACCTAATGTGAGCTGCACCTGCTTTATTAGTTTTGAATCCGGTTTACACTGTCAGAGAACAGAAAAAGAACAAAAATGCAGAAACGATTGATTATCGTGTGAGTCAGATGGGCCCTAGCTCCAATTTCATGCCACAAAAAATTTAGAAATTTATATTAGTATTCATTCTGTTGTTTAGTTGTTTTCATCATGTCCAGCTCTTCTTGACCCCATTTGGGGTTTTCTTGTCAGAGATACTGGAGTGCTTTATCATGTCCCTCTCCAGGTAATTGACAGATGAAGACACTGAGGCAAACAGGGTTAAGTGACTTGCCCAGGGTCACACAGCTGGTAAGAGTCTGAGACCCAACGTGAACTCTGGAAGATGAGTCTTCCCGACTCTGTGCACTCTGGCGCCCCCTAGCTGTCGATTACACAGAGTACCAAAGAGCCCCTCTGGTCCAGACGACCCTAGTTCAAGTCCTATCTCTGACAACTCCTGGCTGCATGTCTCTGGCCAGTCCTCAGTGCCCCAGATGACTCTCCTCATTCATAATGACTGTAAATGCAGAACTAGAGCCCATCTGCCTTAGCGGAGGAAGTGTCCTCACTGGTACTGCTTAGACCCCTGCCTCCCTCAGTGCACGTTGTATATCATCTTACAAATTTCCCCGTGTCTTTTGTCTGTCCAGCCCTTAAGTACGATGCTAGGTGCTAAGGGAGGCAGAGTCAGTGAGACTCCCAGCCTCCAGCCTCTTCCTTAGAGGGGAGATGGCATGAGTGCTAGAGAGAGGAGGGGGCTTCTGGGGGCTGTCACTGCTGAACAAGCAGAATTGGGGAAGGCTTCATGTGAGAAATGGCATTTGCGCTCGCTTGGAGAGTGGTCAGGATTCAACTCGAGGCAGAGGCGGGACCCAGCACTGCAAGAACAAAACCACGGTGTGAGAAAAGGCATAGGGCAGTGATGGAAGAGCAGGCCCCTCCTGGGCAGCAGGACAGCAGGTTGGGGAGGGCAGAGGGAAGTGAGAGAATTTGGAACTGAAAGTGAAACAATGGAATTTTTTTTTAAAGAGAAAATAAAAGGACATGAAGACTAGCGTGAGGTTTTGGGAACCAAGTTGTGGAGGGTTACAACCGCCAGGCCGAGGAGTTAGAATGTATTTGGTAAACAGAGGTGTGCCCAGGGTCTCCTTAATTGAAGTGTACTCGGAAGCAGAAATCCAGTTAGATTTAGTTTCCTATGAAGTTAGGTGTTTCTTTTAATTGCTCACGAGCAGTTTACTTAGACTGTATAGATAGACTTACGTCTGTAGATGCAGAACAAAAATAATTTGAGAACAGAGTTGTTGACATGATAAAAGTCCAGCTGAATGCTCTGAGCATCTGTTCAAACCTGAAGGCAGGATAATGTTTTATCCCTTGCATCTCTCACGAGTGGCAGAGGCCAGAGAACGGCAGTCAGGTTGTTCTCTACATCGAAGGATTTGGTTATAATTTGAAGCAGGATACTTTTACTAAATGTGAGGTGTTTGGGAGAAGCCCAGAGTTCTTACTGTTCAGAGTAATAACTTTCATCGCTGTTCTAAGTCTGTACGTCTGACTGTGTTTACCGTGGGTTTGACTGAATTGCACTACCAATGTAAATATTTCTACCTCTACAGTAAAGAGCCATTTTAAAAGGATCTGAATAGCACGTGTAGGCTTGAGAAAAACACTGTGTTGGTGGGCAAGGTTCTTTGACAAAATGCAAAAGAATCTTCAGTGATTTTCCTAAGCCAGTTTTCTCCTGTAAGCCCTGAGTGTTTTTACTGCTGATGGTGATACTATGATTTGCACTTTAACTGTACCAAATTCAACTTTATTTCTTGTAGCTAGTTCCCTTGTCTGTTAAATGAAGTGGAGTTGTTAATATTGGCTTAGTTTGCAAATTCATTTACTCAGGGAGTTGTTTTCCTTACCCATCTCGCTTCCCACATCAGGATCTCCCTTCAGCTAGGTAGATAGACCACACTGGGGCCATTCACCCATCCCATCTGGCATGCTGCTGGTGCCAGAGGCTCCCCCGTCTTGGGCAGAAGAAAAATTGGCCCGTTAGTGCTTGAAGTGGGCATGCAGAGAACAGGGAAGCTTCAGGAAGAGCAGTCTATGTAATTGTAATGATTATATCAGATCTTAGCAGACACAAGCCTGTCCAATAGGATTTGAAATTGCACAGGCCTACCTTGCTTCTGCATTGAAGGGCACCAGTTACTGGAGCAAGTGTATTCAGTAAGCACTTATTAATCATTCACTATACCCCAAACTGTGATACAAAAACAGACTGTGCCCTCAAAAAGTTCACATTCTACTCACTTTGTCCTTACCAATGGTAGTGGGGCAGGGCTGGGCAGGGGGGAATGGTTGATAAAGGGTAAGTTGCAATGTTTTTTGGAGTAAAACAATTAAAATAACTTGTGAGCTTCAAACTAAACGTCATACGTAGTCTCGATAGTTATTCACCAAAAGAAAGTAAGTGGCCATAAGCAGGGCTTCCCTGGTACATACCTAGCTTTACTTATTGTGAATTGTTTCTTGGCAAAGAGACTGGAGTGTTTTGTCATTTCCTTCTCCAGCTCACTTTACAGATGAGGAAACTGAGGCAAATGGAGATAAGTGACTTGTGTCCAAGATCACACAGCTAGTAAGTGTCTGAGGCTGGCTTTGAATCAGGTCTTCCTGTCTCCAGGCCCTCAGCCCTGTCCACTGAGCAACCTAGGTGCCCAGTACTTAGCTTATGGCTGAGTGTAAATAGAAATCAGTTTTAAGATTAAGGGTGAAGTTTGAATTTCTATTATTTTCATACTATTTGTAACTAAGGGACAACCTCTATGACAACTTTTTTAAAAAAATCTACTAAAACTTTGCTTTTGGCCTTTCAAGGAACACTAACTTGTAAAGTTTTGGGGTTTTTAATCTTATTCACTGGCAGTGTAAAAGCTCCTAACAAAACCAGAGAAAGGGAAATGTCAGCATCTAATAGAGGAGGACATTCTGGAGAATCACATGGGGTGTTTTTGGCCAGGGAAGTAGTTGACCACCATGAAAAGTCTCAAGGGGAGCAGATTCAGGATAAATTGAAAAAAGATGGTAGATCTTTATGGTATATTAAACTGGTTCCTAAAGTAGATTAAACTGTTTGAAAGAAAAGGAGGAATACGTTCAATTCTGAGTGCTTCTGGTAACTACTGTGGAATATTTTGTGATTTTAATGTCTTTTAAATTGTGAATTCTCTTTTATAATAAACATCTGGTTTGTGTGTATGTGTGTGTGCGCGTGCGCGCACACATGTCGTTCTGTGTTGTGGCTGTTCAATTCTCTGATGCCTGTTGTATATGCTTAGCATGTACTTCCTTGTTAGAGGGCGCACGGGACAGATACTTGTGTTCTCTTCACTACGTGTGTTTGTGGGCATCTCTTGGGATTTTACATTTGATCTGTGCAGCTGCTGGATTTCTGAGCAGAGGAGTGACGTTTGCATTATGACAACAGAATGGATTGGAAATCGGCATCATGGCTGAATAAAAAGCACATTAGATGGAGAGTCTGAAGAGACACATCTGAGTGAAAGCCATCAGACCTCTGGTCGTTATGGACTTTAGCAGACTGGCAGCGAATGGCTGAGCCCCATCTGAAGGGAGGAGGCAAACTATAGGTGTTGTGTTCGGTCTTCAGTTGATTTGTTTTGCTTAACTATATTGTTCAATGAGGGAGAGTCTTTGGAAAGTGACAATGTAAAAATATCAGTAAAACTTAACTTTTAAAGAGACCATAGTTTGTGTCCTACTTGCTAGCTATGTGACAATAGGTTACGTAACCTCTTCTGAACTTCTCTTTCCTCATCTCTGAAATAGAGATGATAATCTCCCTCTGTACTATCTCACTTACTGAGCTCTTCAGCTCGCAATGTAGAGGGTGCTCACATGGATTATTCATCCTTAACCTCTGTTGACCTTCAGTCTCACATCTTCTGCCTAACAGACTTCTGGTATGAGATGTCTCAAACTCATTATGTTCCAAACAGAATTTATTCTTCCCTCTAAACCCTCCCTTCTCCCTGATTTACCTATTACGGTGGCAAGGACCACCAAGCTCTCAGTCACCTAGGCTCGCTAGTAACCTGGGTGCCATCCTGGACTCCTCCCAATCCATTACCAAGTCGTGTCAGTTCTTATACCATCTCCTACAGGCTCTTCTCTGACACTGCCACCCCACTGGTGTGGACCCATCACCTCATACCTGCACTATTGCAATAGTTGCTACTGGGTCTGCCTGCCTCAACTTCCCATTCCAATCCAGCCTCCATTCAACCATCAAAGTTTCCTAAAGTCCGGGTCCTCTCTTACTAAGTAAACTGTGGTTCCCCATGGCCTCCAGGAGCACCTACAACGTGATCTGTTGGCATTCAAAGCCCTTCATAACCTGTCCCCTCCTACCTTTCCTATCTTCCTACACCTTACTCCCCCACATGTACTCTGATCCAGAGACGCTGGCCTCCTGGCTGTTCCCTAACAAGACCCTCCATCTCTTGGCTCTGGGCTTTTTCTCTGGCTGTCTGCCATGCCTAGTACACTAGGCATGTGAATTAGACACCATTTTCACCTGTTACCTCCCCCTGTACTGGCGACTATATGCATCTATGTCCGTGTTCTGTTTTCCCGTTCCAATGTGCCCTGTGGGATCTCTGCTTCATTTTTGACAAATTCCCTTTAATCCTGGTTTCATATCACACTTTTTCCGTGTTCTGGGGCTCATGGAAAGCTGGCTACCTGCAGAAGACGTTGATTCCCTGCCAACCTTCTCTACTGGTCCTCAGGTCACTGGACCAAAAGGAGACAGCGTGTTATTGTTGCCACTTTTTTAAAAAAGCAACTTCATTTTTATTTTCAGTTAGAAATTCTCTTCACTGCTCTTCCATCCATTGAGGTCCCTGCCACTTTTATTGTAGACTTCCTTTGCCACCATCACTCAGTAGCGCCTTCTCTGAAGATTTCCTGTCCAAGTCTTTGTCATGGTCACTCCTCAAACTCGGTACCCTCCTGCTGAGCTGCTTACCCTTCGTGCCGGATACTTCAGTATCCCCAGGGCCTGCTGGCCTCCCAGTTCATCAGCCTCCCTACCTCCGGTGACCTGCGTCCTCACCCCCCCCAGCCGTTCTCAGGGATGGTGATGTCAAAGGTGTTCACCCTCACCCGTGACCGTGCTACCTCTGTGACCTCGACATGAAGTTCTGCCCTGCCGTCATCCCGCCTTACCCTTGCCTTGTCCTCCGAAACCTAGACTTTGTCCTCATCTCAACCTTCAGTTCACACCTCCCTCCTTTCCTACTCCTGCTTTAGCCTCATGTCTTCACCCAGTGGTTGACAAGTATGTACTGCCCTCCTCCCCAGCCTCAGCTAAGAACATTGCCTCATTCTGCAGAAAATATTGAGGCCATTTGCCATAAAGCTCCCTTTTTTCTCTTCGTCTCGTATTGTCTAGGTGCCTTTGACCACTCTCCACCTGTCTCACATGATGAGGCGGCCTTACACCTTACAGGTGATCCCATTCTATCCCGGCTTCCCAATACATCACCTCCTCTGCCATCCCAGCTCTGTCACTTATTTTCGGTCTCCCTGTCTATTGGCTTATGGCCTCCTGCCTACAAACATGCTCACGTCTGCCCCAAACTGAACAAACCTTGATCCATCCCCACTGTCGTCCTGTCTCTTAGTGAAACGTCTTCAAAAGGCCGTCTGTGGTAGGTGCCTCCACTTGCCCTCCTCTCATTCATTTCCAGCTTCACCATTCCACTGAAATTGTTCTCTCCGAAATTACCAGTGATCTCTTGATTGCCAGGTCCCGTGGTCTTTTCTCAGTCCTCATTCTCCTTGACTTCATTCTCTCTGAAGTCTTTGGCACTATTGAGGATTGATATCATCTCTCCTCTCTCTCCTGATTCTCCTCTCACCTCTGACTGCTCCTTTCCTCCCTCCTTTGCTGGATGCTCCTCCAGAACATGCCCTGTAACCACAGTCGTCCCTCGGGGTTCTGTCCTGGGCCCTCTTCTTCCTCTCTAGCACTTGATGATTCCATCAGCTCGCATAGATTTAATTATCATCTGCTGTTGATTCTCACATCCACCTTTCTTGCCCCAAACTCTCCGCCCACCTCCATTCTCACATTTCCAAATGCCTTTCAAACATCTCCAACTGGCTGTCCAGTGGCCATCTTAAACCCAATATGCCCAAAATTGAACTCATTATCTTTTCTCCTAACCCCACCTTCCCTCTTATTATTAAGGCAGCACCATCCTTCTAGTCCCTGGGAGTCAGCCTGTTTTCCTCATCTCTTACCCCTCCCCTCCATATCTAAGCTTGCCAAAGCCTGTTTATTTCGCCTCAGCAGCGTCTGTCAAACATGTCCCCTTCTTTCACCTGCACCCTGGTGCAGGTCCTCTGTTACTGTGTAACATCTGGACTAGGGTAATAGTCTTCTCTCCCTGCTTCACTCCGAACTCCTCTATTCAGCGATCAAAGTGATCTTCTCAAAGCGCAAGTCAGACCATGTCAAACCCCTACTCGATAAATGTCAGTGGCTCCCCGTTACCTCGGGATCAGATATAAAATCCTGTTTGGCTTTTAAAGCCCTTCCTACTTTTCCAGTCTTCTTACACATCAGACCCCTCTGTGTACTACTCTTCAACCCAGGGACACTGGTCTACAATGCTGTTCCTTCAGGACTTTCTTTATCTCCTGACTTGATCAATAAACATTCATTAAGTGCCTACTGTGTGCCAGGCAATGTGCTAAGCACTGGGGATAGAAAAAGAGGCAAAAGACAGTCCCTGCCCTCAGGGAGCTCACAATTGAGGAGACTATAAGCAAACCCACTTGTACAAGCAAGCTATGTGCAGGATAAATGGGAAACACTGAACAGGGGGAAGGCATTGGAATTGAGGAAGTTGCAGATAGTTTCCTGTAGGTAGGATTTAAGCTGGGACTTGAAGGAAGCCAGATGGAAATGAGGGATAGTGTACTAGGCATGGCAGACAGCCAGAGAAAAAGCCCAGAGCCAAGAGATGGAGGGTCTTGTTAGGGAACAGCCAGGAGGCCAGCGTCTCTGGATCAGAGTACATGTGGGGGAGTAAGGTGTAGGAAGATAGGAAAGGTAGGAGGGGACAGGTTATGAAGGGCTTTGAATGCCAACAGATCACGTTGTAGGTGCTCCTGGAGGCCATAGGGAACCATTGGAGTTCACTCAGTAAGAGAGGACCTGGACTTTAGGAAACTTTGATGGTTGAATGGAGGCTGGATTGGAATGGGAAGTTGAGGCAGGCAGACCCAGTAGCAACTATTGCAATAGTGCAGGTATGAGGTGATGGGTCCACACCAGTGGGGTGGCAGTGTCAGAGAAGAGCCTGTAGGAGATGGTATAAGAACTGACACGACTTGGTAATGGATTGGGAGGAGTCCAGGATGGCACCCAGGTTACTAGCGAGCCTAGGTGACTGAGAGCTTGGTGGTCCTTGCCACCGTAATAGGTAAATCAGGGAGAAGGGAGGGTTTAGAGGGAAGAATAAATTCTGTTTGGAACATAATGAGTTTGAGACGTCTCATACCAGAA